TCAGGGGAGCATCCCTGAGCCTGGCTGGGGTAGAGCAGAGCACATGCTCTGCCCCTCAGTGGGGCATCTGGGTGACAGAGGAGCAGGCACAGCAACTTCCCAGACCCAGCAGTTCTTACGCTAGTCAGAAACAAAGCTGTTTGCAAGGCAGTGCTGAAACAGAAGTTCAGATTCATGAGTGTTTTTGCTATTGAAAGGGGTGATTTTTAGCATTTCCCCTCCCTTGTACTTTTTAAACCATTTAAACCACATGGCCGTGTGGGTTTTTTGACCCTTTTGGAGAGTGGAGGACTGTGCTTAAAGCTTCCTCTTCCTGCAGAAACTGGGCTATGAGCAGCAGGAGCAGCACGACCTGTCTGCTGTACAGGTGTGGGGAGCCCAGAGCACAGACCAAGCCTGCAAACAGCTCTCTCCAGGCAGACCAGATGCATATTAGCCCAAGTGCCTTTCCTAGTGCTCGACACGCTTTACCAGGGGGTAAGTTATAAGCAAATCCTTCCCCTGCCTCACCATCCAAGCTCGAAGTCCCTTGGAAACTCTGATAGAGTTTGGCTCATCAGCGTATCAGGATCGGTTTTATTTTATCTGCCTGCACAAGCCTGCATGCAGGGATAGATCAGATTAACATGACTGATGAAAAACATCCTCCTCTTTATCCCCTCTGACAGCAGCAACCCTTTATCAACAGTCTGAAGACAAAGTTTTCTCAGCCATAAGTTTTCTGCCCTGAGGGTTTGTTGTTGGTTTGTTGTTTTTTTTGTTTTGTTTTGTTTTTTTTTTCCAGTAGATTTTTGCTTCAAGAAAAATCACAACATTTTGATGGAAGATTTTTCAGCCATCCTTATGCATTAGACATGGTGGCAGACAGGCTTGGCACATCAACATCTGCTCCTTCTCACTGGATTGAATTTAATATCTGGTGTATGAGTGCTAACCCTCCCCTGGAGCTTTGTTGGAGTCAGCTCAGTGAGATGGCTGGAGAGAAGAAAATAGCTCTTTTCTGAGGGTTTCCAAACACTTTTCCATAGTGACCCTCTCATCATTTTATCCCCTTTTACAAAGCTAACTTCATAATGCCCTCCAATGAGGCTTTGGGGAGGACAGTGCTATAAATTGCAGCCCAGTGAATCCGCCACTCACTGCTGCTAATATACTGCATTTATCCTCACTGCCACAGAGGCTGTGGCAGCCAAAGGAGGAGAGAAGGAGAAAAGTAATTACTTCTCGCTCAGCTTGTCACCAAATCCTTTCATCAGCCCTCTCACGTCTTTCTTGGCTGCCTGAGTGACTTGCCAAGCTCTGCTGTGCCAGTGCTGGATTCAGTGGTGCTGGCATAATGGGGCGTGAGGCATATGGGGGTGCTGGCATAACGGGGAAGGGGTTGGGTGACACGGGCACTGGGAGCCCCCTCAGTGTCCGGCAGGCCCCAGGCTGCCCGTTCATGTGCACCAAGTCTCATCAGCCCAAACCATTGCCCCTTGAATGACATCAGGATCCCCCAATCAAAATGTGGGTTTGTTTCAGCCAGGAAGTCTTATCCCAAAAGCATCCCCTGTGTGGAGTGAGGGAGAAAAGAAGGGGTTTCTTCCAGGTTTTGTTTTTTTTTTTTTTTTCTAAATACCCTTCAGTTGTTAAAGAGCCTAATGTCCTGGAGAGGACTCAGACTCCATATCTTCATTCAGCAGTGTGGATCAGCCAGACATTGAGCTAAAAGCAAAGCTACTGACTCATGAAATGAATCCAAAATTAGGCCAATTTGCTGGTTGGTGCTGAGGTTCCCAGGAGCAGCAACATCTTCCTGAGACCTGAAACTAGGTGGGATATCAACAGCCCTTGCCTGGGGCATGTATTAAATTGAAAACAAATATTTTGAACAGAACCTGATGGGCCATTTTTCTGGTTTTCTTCAAGTCCTGCAAGATCAAAGAAAAGATGAACAGCAAGGGCCATTTACCTCTGAGGAGGTGGTGGATGTGGGGACCACTGGTGATGCAGTGAAAGTATTCCACTTAACTGGCCCAGCACTGCCGTCATTGGGCTGTCATGCACTGAAACCAGTGTGCCATGTGATAAATTTGATGCACTTCACACTGAAATTGATGCATCGCCTTTGGAATCAAATTTATCATCTCTTCTGTCACACTCCATATAGTGGATCAGAGTCACCACCTACTGAATTAAAATCTTCACGTGCAGTTCGCATCACACCATAAATCAGGACAAAATGGAATTAAATGCATTGTATGCTAAGAACTCATTCATCACACCATAAATTAAACATAGGACAAGCCTCTTAGGCTGGATGTGCCCAGTTATAGACTGCAGAGTCCACTGGGGAAAACATGACACCACTGAAGTCACTGAGGGCTTGGTCATTAATTTCAGTTAACTTTTTAATCTACTGTTTACTGGATCCATCTCTGTCCTGGACCAACACAAAACTTGGGTACCCAGAAACTTCTGCTGTCAATGACTCTCCTATTAAACCATCCACATGTCCTACTTGGAGGTTTAGGCAGGAGCCTGGAGGAGAGATGCAAATCAGACCCCTACCCTGCTCCTGCACGGGAAATGGCAGCAAGAGGCTGAGAGGGCTTTGCAGCCCTTTCTGGTAGCCAGCACAGTGTGGGACACACACACAGCACCTCTTGTCCTCAAAGGACTGTGTGCCAAGGAATGGCCAGGCTCAAAGTGTGTCAACATCCTTTTTGCTGGAGGGGAGCATCCTTCTCCTAACTTCTCAGCAGAGCTGCACAGGGCTCGCCATGGCTAAGGAGCTGTTGGATGCCTGACACCCCTTTTGCAGTCTTTGGACTTCTAAGAAACAAGAAGGGGAAAAAAACCCCAGGCTCAGGCATACATGTGCTGTCAGAACATCCCAAGCAGTTCAGCCCTTGGCAGCAGGTGTGTGACAAATGGAAACAGGAGCACAGAGCAATGGATACCAGCTGCTCAAGGCCAAAGCTAGGGACTGAGGCAAAGACACAACTTCAGAAATTCTTATCTAAAACCAGATACTATTTTATCTCTTTTCTTATCTATGTTAATTGTTGCTTTTCTGACAGCATCTCCCTGTGTGCTCTCACAGCACGGCCCCATCTCAGCTCCCCAGGGAAAGGTGGGACAAACTTCCAGCTGAAGCACAATGCAGTCAGATACATCCTTGGATCCAATCCATAGTCTTTCCTTTTATTTTTGTATTCATCTGGTCCTCTCAAAATCTGCTCAGGAGCAATTAAAGCCTGTCAGCTAGAAGCTGATGCAACTTCTATTTAATTAGCCCAGCAGCCAATAAAGATCTCATTCATCAAACTCTCACAGAAGGTGTGGCAGTGGAGGGGGGGATTTGTCACTTCTCCCCTAGATCCAGATGGCTGTGGAGCATCTATCAGTGATCCGATCACACGCATGGACTCATGTGCACATCTGAGGAGACTGAGCAGCTGGGACACATCTGTCCACAAGGCAGTTATGGGAGGAATCAGTGCAAGACTGTCCCAGGTGCTGTGGTAGCAAGTCCTGTTGGAAGCTCAGACTCCAGATCGTGACTAACCTGGGCAGAGAGTGACTCTACTGGGATGAGCAGCTCTGGGGGGCTTTTCATCTTCTGACCCATTTTGGTGCTCTTCTCAGCAGCAGGAAAAGGCAGAGATGTGTAAGGAAGACCGAACATCAGCAGGATGAATTGGGGTAGAGGCCTGAAAGAGTTTGCCCCATAGCTGCTGCTTTGCTCTGGGAGGGGTTTAAGAGCTCCCCTCCCTGTCTGCCACACTGAACCTAAACATAATAGAGTTGGCAAAGCAGGAGATAGGAAATCAGATACTGATGGATCCCAGCAAAGTTTTGGGGCGTTCAGCATGCCAGAGAAAGTCTTTGGGGTGACACCCTCTAGGCTTGAAAGCTTCCCCTTAAATTGACTGTCAGGGTATCAAATATTTGCCTGACCTTGCCCTGCCAGACCATCTAAGCAGGTCACCTTTGGGTTGAGCTTTATCCAAAGACTGGGTAGGGGGGCCAGGAGGATGGGGGGAATGTAAATCTGTACCCACAAGGTCACTGTGCTGGCTTTGTGTCATGAAAAGGGGTTTCACCAGCTCAGACCTGCAGGAGCAGGTCCCTGTGGGAATCACTCGCCAACACTGTTTGCAGCCTCACCATCACAATTCACTGAACTGAAAAAAATAAATCTGCTATCACAGGACAGTTCATAGATTACAAACATGAGTGATGGTATCTTTATAATTAATGATTACGAGAAAGCAGCTTAATAGTTTGGTTCCTTGTGACCGGCTTGATTTGCAATACATGGCAGTTGGCATAAGCAAAACAGGTAACTGGAGCCTGTTTACCCTTGGTGTGTCCAGCTGGTTGCTCCACTTCACAAACTTGCATGTAAGCATGTTTTTTCACAAAGCCATAGCCCCAAGAGCAGAAGAGGGCTGCAGATGTAACCCCAGCAACAGCCACATTCCCAAGATGGGAGATGCTTGGGGGTGGAATGATGAGCAGTTTCTTGCTGCTGCCCCACACATCTGCAAGTTGCTATTGTCAGCAATCTCCCCTGGCATTTGCAGAGAAAATGCCTGTGCTCAGGTCAGAGCCCAGAGCCACACATCTCCTCAGCAGTTATTAAGAGGAACATCATAGCTGGCATATTACTGTGATTGATGCTGTATCAATCAACTGGAAAAGTGTTAAGCAAGCCTTAAAAAGAAGTGAGATGAAGGCTTAAATACTGGGCTAAGATGTCCATATTATGGGGATTATTCCAAGATTGAAAACACGTGTGCAGAGATGCTGACATACACAGCTGTGCCCCTCTCCCTGCTGCTCCATGCTGGACACGCTGCTTCCAAGGGAAGTGAGTAATGAGTGCTTGCATTGCAAACGGCGATGGGCAATTAGCAGAGGGCACATACAAACCTGTATGCAGTGCGAGTCTGTGGCTTACTGCTTATCAAATAAAATGTAAGGAATAAACACTCTCTATTAACACCTTATTTCAAGCCAAGCTGTGGTGCTTGCATGCTTTTATTCTCTTTCATCAAGTCTGGTTTGATTTGGCTTATTATTGTTTAAGATCAATATGATACGCTACACTTGGAGTTGCCAACTTTAGTAATTTTTGCTGATGTGACATTTGGTATTTCAGAACTCAGGCAGGGGGCTCCTTTTTTAAGGAGAGCCTCAGATTTTCTCACATTAAAACAAAAAGTTTGTGGCCAGGTCAGTTGTGGAGAAATTTATGTGTGGCATTCAGTTTCTCATATTCAAAAAGCACATAAACAAACAAACAAACAAACAAACAGAAACCTTCCACAAAACCAAACTCAATCAAACAAAAAACAAAAAACACACCCCAAACCAAAACAAACCCTCAAATGTGTTATCTTATAATCATCTGTGATTTTTCAAACACTATGCCCTTGGGGAACCCAACTCACAGATTTTCTGCCAACAAAGGGTGATTTTTCTTGAGAACAAATTCACTTCTCATCTCCAAAGCCAGGCCCACACACCAGTGAATTCCTGTATTGTGAGTGCAAAGCCACGGTCAGAAACCACAGGACAGGGATGGCCCTGTGCCCAGCATGTGCTCCAGAGGCTTCACACTTTCTTTCAGTCTCTAGTCTGGTGCTGTGTTTTCTCCCAAAAGATGCCCCTGATTCCCCAAGGGAATGCATTGGGCTTTCCCATGGGGTGTAGTACCCTCCTTGCTGTACCTGCAGCCATCTACACCAGAAACAAACTTCCCATGCAGAAACTGGTGCTTCAGCCCTTTCTGTGCCCTTTACCCTGTGCTCAGACCTGGACTGAATGGAGAGGAAGCTGCTGAAGTGCATGGATGTATTTTACCTGTCTCAGGACCTGGACTAAATGTTTCCCTGTGATGTCTCCAGTACTTTACAGAGGACAAAATCCAGCATGTCCTTCTGGATTTCTCTTTTCCAAGGAGGCTCAAGGTGGGTCTCTTTGCTCCCATGTTTGTCTCAGAAGGGACCTAATAGCATTTAAAGTCTGAACAGACACAGCAAGCTCAGGGCTGGGAGAGAAAAAACACTCCTTTTGCCAGCCCTTCATGTTAAGCATCTATATTTAAAATGACTACATATGTCTGTATTTAAAATGACTACATAAACTAAGAAATTAATAACAGGCCTAAGTGCTTTACCAGGCAAATCTGATTTCTTCTTAGGAGAACTGAGGGAATAAAGCTAAAAAATTTGCTTTGAGGATGAGATTTAATTCAAAGTGCCAGTGTTAGTTCTTCTACTGCACTTGTAGGTTTAGAGAGTAAATCTGTTTGCTAGCAAACAATTGTCTTAAACAAGATCATCATTAATCCTGAATTCAGCTGTCAAAAGGACTGAGACTGCAAACTAAGAGGGAACAAGAAAAACCTGGTAATTTGTCTGTTAAATATTTGTAAACTGTCATATCAATAATGGATAATAAGAAAATTTTGAGCCTCCAGAGCTGATGCATAACACAAAGCTTTGCTGTATTGCACCTAAACTATTATCAATTGCACATTTATTATAATAATAGATGAAAAGCTTCTCAGCTGAAAAACAAGATCAATTTGAGCTCAAGCTGTTTGGACATATTCTAAATGTTGTAATTAAAATGCAGCATGAATGTTCCTTAAAAAAAAAAAAAAAAAACAAAAGAAGAATAGCCCTGCTACAATTATGCCATCCAGCCTTGACTCAGTAACCTGACCCTGAGAGAAAAAAAACAGGCAAAATTGTATTTGTGTCCAGTCAGACATTTCTCATCTTCAGGGCTTGCTGCACAGCCTAAGCTAATACAACTTTTCCTGTAGAGTCAGGATCCAGCCCAGGCTTGAAGATTTGATGCAGGGGATCAGCCTAGGTTGCACTGACCCCCCCATGCAGGTCAAGATTTGATTAAAGTCCAGCCAAGAAACCCAGCTGAGCTCTATCTTGCTGCAAAGGCAACTGTAGTTTATGGTGGAAAAAAACCCAAGCAACTGTAAAAAGAGATAAGCCACCTGTGCGAAAGGTTTCACTCCTGGAGCAAGTGCCTTGGGGACAGAAATGGTCAGAGTAACATTTTCCCCACCACCATCCCCACAGTGTTATCACACACATCAAAACATGACTCTGGCCTCCCGCAGCAATTAGAGACTCAGGGACACTTCCCAGGAGCTGCCTGCCACCCTGGAGAATTGGGCTCTTCTTTTGTTCTGATAAAGAAGTGACTAGTGAGCTACAGCAATCTCCCAGTAGCTCTCTAAATAATTGTGTTCTCTTATGTCTTTTAATCATAAGCCTCATGAGGTTCATAATACCACATGTGCAATCCAAATTAGCCCATCAGCTCAGTTTATCAAAGGGATCTAATTTAATCCCACTCTTTGATGGAGACAGGAGTGGTCAAAGTCCACCCTAATGATTTTCTAAGTTTACTTAGCTTGCAGATCTGGGGCGTGAAAGGCACTTGGACTCCAAGCACAGCATTGATAACAGGAAGCCACAGGCAGGAAGACAAAACTGGCAAGAGCTTGACAGTCTGAATCAAAAGAAACCACAGCAAAAACGTGGAAAAACAGCGGAGAGTGGAGACTGAAAAGGCAAAATAAACCCCATGATTGGTGTCACCACAAGTAATATCATGAGGCTGGTAAAATAAATTGTTGGAGGCAACAGCTCCCGTGGAGTGACTATGGCTACTGTGAGAGACCCACTAAGGAGGGGGCCAGAGCAGATGAACCCAAGGAAATGAAGAGCCAAAGGAAAGCAAGCACAAAGTGCTGTGTGTGGCAGATCTGCTCTGACCTGGCAGCATCCCATCCCAGCCAGAGAAGGATGCATTAAGCATGAGAGCATACCTTTATGTGGAAAAGTCCCTGCTCTTCCCTAACAAGCTGAAAAGAGGCTCAAAACTTTCAGAGATGAACAGGTTCAGTCTAGGGGCACTGAGATGACTCCTCTGCTCATTTTCATCCCAGTAGGTCAGTGGGCCCCAGAAGGTGTAATACAGTGTCACCAGCTAAGAAATGTTGAGCAGACTGAAGCAAAAACCCAAAGGAAGGAGCCCAAATCCCTGGCTTCAAGGGATGCTGAACAATGGACAGCTTTAGGACCATAGGCTTCAAAGGTAAGGCTTTTAAGGAAAAGCTAAAAGCCCAACCATCTCCAGAAAAGTGAGAGTTGACAGAAGACTGAGCAGTGTTTCACTGCATAGCTATGAGTGATGGATGTGAATATAGAAAAAAAAAAAAAGAACTTTCCTAGACAAAACCCAGCTGGTTATGAAGCTCTCGATGGCTTTTAATAGTTTTCAGCTCAAACAGAAGAGGGAACTCAGAGCCTGCATTACAGAAGCTTGAGGAGTGCTGTGGGCTTTGGGAAATGGAGCATGAGCCCTTTGGTTACAACCAGCATGCAAAAAAGGACGGTGTAAAGAAGGAACAAAGAAATCCTCCAGTAGGGATGTAAAGGACTATGCTGGCACCATTAGTGCAGAAGGATTCTTCATGTCACTGTCAAAGTTTTGGCAGAAGATGGATGGACCACCTGCCTGCAAACAGGCAAAGCCATTTATTTATTTTATAGAGAGAGTGCAGGTGCTCAGGACAACCTTTGAGGGGGAAAAGGAAAGAAAAACAGTGATATTAGCTCCAAAAGTAAATACACAACCAGCAGACACCAAAGGGTAAAATGCAAACATTACCCATGCTGGCTAATCCCCACAAAGGTTAAAAATCTGTCAAATCCTTGGTTTCGTGAGGGATGTGCACTTTGGAGAGGTGGGGGACCTGAATTTTAGGAGATCTTCCAGAAAAGTGCTCATGGGCGGGCAGAGTAAGAGAGTCCCTTGCTCCAAGGCAGTGATGAGATGATGGGACTGCACAGCTCCCTCGGCCATCCCTGGAGGGCAGCTAATGACACTGGCTAATGACACTGAACGAGAAAGGAGGGGGGGAAGCAAATAAAATACACTCTAGGGAAAGAGTGAACTTTCTTCTCTTTCCTGTGTAGATTTTGTGCTGTAAAAAGTGTCAGGAAGCAAAGCTGGCACAGAGAGCCTGCAACTGGCACACAGATGGGATGGTCAGCGCTCAGAGCTGGGAGCTGCAGCCCCCAGAGAGGCATCTGAGCATCCGCTGGCCTCTGCTGAGGGCACAGCAGGAGCTGGACTGCATGGCCTCACATGTGGGGTGCCACTGCGATTGACAGCAGTTTGCCTTTTTCAAAGGCAGCAGCTCCTGGTGCCTGATGAATTCCTGCTGGCCTGCTTCACCTCTACCTTGAGCAGGAAAAATCCATATTGGCACAACACCTTTGAGAGATTTCTTTCTTTGGTGAGGACAGCATGAAGGCATGAAGGCCTACCTGGAGAGTGTTTTGATGCACAGGTTAAACAGAGCAAGAGCCCAAACAAAGGCTCCCAGTAGCTCCAAGCAGATGGGGGTGGTCAGAGCTCTAATCAAGCAAATTCACTTCCATTTGAAGAAACTTCATTTGTGAGCAGGTATATAACACTGCAAGATCTGGGAGATGCCAGTTACCTGAGACTTGGTCAGTTGGGATGGGCAAGCAGACAAAGAAGGAGCAGAAAGTGCCCCGCCATGGGTGAGCAGCACCAGCACAGGTCCCTGTGTCAGGAGGAGCAGCCCTGTCCAGGCACACAGACTGCTGCTACTTGACCAGAAGATTCAGAAGCTGAAGCCTGGCAGCACATGGTAATACACAGTAGCAACACAGATCTCTCAACAAAACACTGACATTGGCTTTTAAAGCACCCTGGTCAAGACTGGGATGGCCACAGAGCACAAATGGACACCCCATGGCTGGTAACAGACGTGTCTCAGTCCAGAAGTCTCTGTGGCTTGACTTGGCACAACACAAGGGCTGACTGTGGTCAGCTAACTGGGTACAGGATAGATGAGAGGGAGATTCTGGATAACCCCTGTGCTCTGAACTGACTTGCCTATATAAGATGTGTCAGGCCATACGAGGCTGTGACAAGAAGCCAGAGCCAAAGCAAGCCAGGGCAGATGCCCTGTTACCAACCACCCAGACATTTGGCTCTGCGTGGTTTCCGCCCAGACACAGCATTCCTGTGGGTGAGCAGCTTTTCTAGATGTGGAAAATTGGGCAGCATTACCCAGGACAACTCCCAAGAAAACACACTGTTGCTGGCAACAAGGAGGCTGCATGAGAGGAGGAATAACCAAGGTGCTGAGGTGTGGCAAAGTCATCTGTGAGAAGTCTGAGTGACTCGTGGGGAGGAAAGACCAGCATATGAGACAGAGGGGGCTGACTGCTAGTGAAAGGAGTAATTTGGAGCTAACTTGGGAGTCTGCAACAAGAGGCAAACCCAGCTGCAGCCTAGGAAGGGTACACGGCTTCAACAAGTCAGTTCAGCGTCTTTTCTTACACACATGGGTTGATTGAACAGGACAGGCCAAGCAGACTGAACAACATATGCAATGAAATAAAATAATCTTAAAAGGGATGTTTGCTTGATTTTTGTGTCTTCATCTTGGTTGCCAGTTACCATGCTGCTGGATTCCAACTGTAGCTCCTCATTGCTCTGACTGCAATTCTGTTAAATTCTGGGTTAGGTTTTTACTTTCTGTAAGCATATTAAAATTTTAATTAAGCACTAAGCCAGTGTTTTAGTTGGTTTTTGAGAATTCAGCTATTTATCTTGTTGATTACAGTTCTCTCAGGTCCTTAGTTGTGGCCTAAATTTAGAACAATTCTGACTGAGCCCTGCAGGATAACTGCTACAACTATTCATTAAAAATGAAGAGATCAGAGTTGATCAGCCAACTGTGGGAGGCTGCATCCTGACAGTCTTCTGATCTATAGGTGCTAGAGCCAGGTTAATGTTGATCTGCTAGTAAAACACAGCATGGAGAGACCTTGGAAAGATGCAGCAGCTTACTAAGAAACAACTTGTTTCATAGCTTGTTGTCCACCTGAGACAGTGAGGAAAGAGGGATTTCAAGCAAAGCAATTCTTCTCCTTCATGCAATTTCCAAAATGCAACATAAGCCCTTCTCAAGGCAAAATGTTTAAATGTCCCCATTTTTGTCTCTCTGGAGAGCACTTTTCAAGAGATGAATGAAGGTCCCTGCTTTACAAAGCACATGGGCAACTCCCACAAGGAAGTAGTTCATGCTTAGCCAGCTTCATGTGAAATTTTGTGGGGTTTTTCCTAAACTGACGGAGAAATCCAAGGGCCCTACAACATCTACTCATATGCAACAGGTTCATCACACATGTTAATATGAAAGACTAGCTATCAACAGCTAGTGAATCCAGCTGTCAATATGCAAAACCCTGGCCAGATCTGTCAACATCTGGGACCAGACATCTCTTAAATGCTGTTTTAAAATTGTATCACAATAAGAAATGTAGTGATAATGAAATGCAGAGTCTGGTACCATCCAAAATTCAGCAGCTATGGTATTTGCCATGGAGCTGAACTCCCAAGTTTAAGCAGCTGGTGCTAGAAAGTGTTTTTTGTAGCTCGGCAAATAAATTCAACAGAGAGAGAAAAGGAGATTATCCTTCTGTGTATAACCCTGACTAAAACTTGTTAACCATCCCTAATTTTAGCTCTCCCCCCCTGTGCCAATCCCATCTGTAATATCCAATCAGCTGTTTTTTCTGTCCTAAGGGGAAGCCAAGGTGGTGGCTGCCATGGATGGCAGGGACATTGCCGGGAGTACAGCCACCTCCTCCTCCAGTCACTGCAGACCCACCGCTACCAGTCTTCATGCTGTTTTTTGCAATACTCTGGAATGATGAACTTGCTTTTTAAACCATGGGTGACCACCTCTCTCAATGGCCCTTCACCACCAGCTAGGAGGGCGCTTTTCTGAAAGGTCTGAAGTCATCCACTGTTTAATCATCTGAGCTTTCCACTTCTCCCATCTCATCTCTCCAATTAATTCAGTGTGAGTAAATTCAGCTGTTCACTGATGAATTGGAAAGACCTTGACCAAACAGCCCTTTACTTCCTGCCCATCAGTCTGCAGCCTCCTTGCACAGTGTCTCAGGCCAAAGCCAAGTACAGTGAAAACTTTTCCTTTCACTTGCTCACATTTCACTTTCACAATTAAACTCACACCCAGATCACTGCTTAGGGAACCATATCTTACACCAGGAAAAGCTCTAGTTCAGTCTACTTTGCCAGGCCCATTTGGGTATCCAGAGAGGAACCAGCTCTCGATCCAGGCTCCTGCTTCCCAGTCAGTACTGACAGCACACACCAGTTGCATCCAAGCCAGTCCCATGCTGCCCTCCCAGGACTCCTCTTCTGGAATCCTCTAAAACTCATCTTCTGGAATTCTGGGGCTATGGTGAAAGGGAGATGGAAGAAATGAGAGACGCCAGCCCTTTTAGCTGTACAGAGAAGCTTGCTACCTAAAGGCATTTGACTGCCTCAGAAAGAAGAGGTAAATTTAAGGAACCCACAGCTGAGATGTTGTTCTGCTGAGTTTGAAATATCACTTTTATGCTTATCTCATGCAAAACTGGAAATAACACTGGCCACACTTCCAACCTGCTACGGGGAAAAATGGTAACAACCAGTGCAAACGAAAGGAAATGTGCTGCACAAAAAATCTTTATCAGAAAGTACCCTCCAGAAAAACAGAAAAACACACATAGTTCCAGACTGAAGCCTGGAATCTCCATGAAGGCTTGTGCAGCAACACACATACAGACCCTCACCACCTCTTTACTGTCCCTTAGCTGGAGATGGTAATTTCTGTAGGTCAACTAGTGTGAGCTTTCCCTAATCTGCTCCAGGGCAAGCTCCACCAGCAGCTGAGACTCTTCAGTGACAGGTGAAGCTGGACTGGCAGAAGGCTGCTATCTGTAGGAGGTCATAGAGCTTTACATATGCATATACTTTGGATTCTCTCTCTGATCCTAAATCAAATAACTGAGAGGAATAAGGAATATTTTTCTAAATTTGGGGGTTAAGAGCTGAGCCTTAACCTATCTCTGACCTAGCTGTACAGAAAAAAAACCCAGAGGTCTCACTACTGCACAGAGTCAGATCCAAAATCTTTGATCCAGTCTTGAGTCCACTGACAAGTGAAGAAAGGGCTCTGAGGACGGAGCTGTGGCTGTAAAACTGGAGAAGTGCTATGCTGAATGGGCTATTTTGCGACCTTCAGCTGCAGCAGAAGCAGCTGGTCACTACACCCCCCACCCAGCTCCTGGCTGTTTGTGAGCATGACCGGTGGAAATCCCTCCTCACTGCTGGTGCACTCCAAATAAATGGGTCTAATTTAGCAAAGCTACAGCTGCAGCTTAAACGGTGGGGAAGGATCATACCAGCAACCAAGCAGGCAGATCAGAGGAGGGCAAAGCTTCCAACAGGTCATGACAAGCAGGTGAGAAGAAGTAATTGTGTCAGCTGGAAGGAAAATGTGAACAGAGCCTTACAGTCCCTCAAGCAAGCAGTTTCTGGGAGGGGCTGCAGAAGCAGCCCCCAGCCTCATGTTAACACTTTATTTATAACATTGCCTTCCTGTTCATAACCTTCCCAAATGTGAATTGCAACTTTTCTTCCCCCCAGCATTATGGTGATAGTTTGGAACGTGGAGATGTTTGGAAAGGGGCAATTTGGCATCAGGAGTCTAAAAAGCAGATACAGATGACATCCTAAATGTATCTTTTATGAGTTTGGAACATTTCCTTTAAATAAAGCTCAGAGTGTGTGACAGCTTCTGGTAGTGCTGCCAATAAGGAAATAAAACAAAAAAAAAAATCAAGAAGTTCTTAGGCATATGTAGCCTCAGAGATTTGGATACCTTGCTTTCCCTCATGCCACTTTGAACTGCTTACCAAGTGCTTCCTAAGGAAAGTGCTCCAATAATTTTCAATTGTCTCCTCACCACATATGCCCTCGAACCCCAACATACTTCCAAATTCTAGGCTTATAAAAAATTAAATGCTCCAATAATTCTAAATTGTGTTTGTTCAGTGTAACTGGAACCTGGCCATTCCTTCAGTTTGGGGATTTTTGTTTGCAGTGGGTGAAAGAAGAAATGCTTTCTATTAGTGCTTCAAGTTGGAAGCTGGTCAAACAGCATCATAGCAGAATGATTCAGCAGCCTCTGAGCTGATTCACAGTGTATCATAAAATGGGATTAGGAAAACAACAATGCTTGGAGGAGAAAGAACGCACACAAAGAATCACAGCAGGAGAACAATACCAGAAAGGAATAGAGGGGAATAATCCTCACTTGGCTTCTGAGAAGCAGGTTGGATGACCTAATAGATGGCTTTCAATGCCCTTCATTCCCCACAGTCACAGGGTTCAGCTCCCTGGATCCAGCTACCACAGCTTAATAAATGGCTCTGCATTGACTGAACCACATCAAGTGTTCCTGTGTGCACACCCACAGCCTGCTCCCATTTATCTGAGATCATGATCCCCCTCTGGCAGAGGACCTGGATGCTATTTGACAGTGGGCAGGAGCTTGTGCAGAACTAGTGGTGGAATTCCATTTAGAATAAGAAGGTGGGGAAACAATCGTAGGCTGTGAGTCTTCCAGTTAGAAACCAAAAAGCGGTGTTTTCTCAGTCTTGCACAAGAAGACATACACACACATGGCAGCACATTAAAGGAGCACTGAAACTAAGTATATTTCCTAGCACTGTCCTGAACAGGAATGAAATTAAACATGTATTTCGTGATCTCCTGAATCAAAGTATTAGCAACCACCTATGCACAATGCCAAGACGGAAGAAGAAGGCATAATTTAAAATCTATTCTCTGTGAACCTGAAGATCCTATTGACAACCTGGTTTTAAATTAGGCCATACCTGTTACAACTGCAGCCTTGGAGTGATAGAGGAAGGCAGGGTTTCTCTCAGGAGTTTTACTAGATCAGCAATGGCTGAATTACTTCCATGCAGAACATAAAATCACAGCTTCATGCAATCGAGGAAAATCAAACAATTATATCACTATTCCAGTAAAATAGCTATATCTAAAATTTGGTAGAGACATAAAAACGAGGATGAAAAACAAAAATCTCATATGCCATGGCCTCCTCTTGTAGACAGAAAAAATGATAAAGTGCATCCTTGTTTAACTCACCGCAGGATGCCTGGAATTTTATAGAAACTACTGCAACTTGTCTCCCAGTAGGGAATAACTGAAGTATGAGATAAGAAATCAACCACATCCTAACTTGCAGTGACAGATGCTGTAAAAGGAAATGCCCAGTAATGGCTTAATGTATAGGAAGATGGCAAATAACTGTCTAGAATTCTGAAATAAGAAAGCATAAACCAATTCTCTAATCACATCTAATCAAAGAACACCATCAATTGCTAAAAACTTCTAGGAAAAAATGGGTATTGGAGAGATGGTAGCAAGACTATCTTTGTCAGTAGTGTTTTGGGAATATTTTAGCCTGCAGAATTTAATTCCCTGTTATTACTTCCGAGCTGGAGGTGTAAATCATAAATCAGAACCATTCATAACAGGCAATAATGGGATGAAATGCTCATAGGGAGAGTTACATGATGAAATCCTGTGGGACTGTGTGTAACCTTTACAGTCTTTGACGACAGCATTAAAAATTCTTCTGTCACTAACATCTATTCTTCCTTAACTCCTATACTAGGTTTTCTTTCTTCTCTCCTGACATCTCCGAATTTTTCTGTCATACAGCACTCCTTTCACCCTTCCTCCCTGCTGCCCTAAATATATGTTTAAGAGAAAATCATAGGAAAGCATTCCATACTTAAAAAGATGGGCAGGTTTCAATTTACACTGTAATTACTAATAAGGGCTTTTAATACCAGAAGAGCTTTCCCAGGGAGTTTTGCTCTGATTTCAGGACCCCCATTGTTTTTATAGAGGGCTATTTGGTCCCATTTATAAGGTGGCTACATATTGTGTAATAAAGACTGCAATGTTCTAAAATAAAATAACACTGTCCCCACCCTTCTTTTACCCTTTCATAACTGAGTTTAAAAAAAAATCCCAACTCATCATGTGTTAGAGCTTTGTTTTCTGAGTAACGAGACCAATCATGTTTCCTCTGCTTGAGGTCTCTCTCTTCTCTTCCTTTTCTTCTAGGTCCTCTGGATCCACACTGACATAGAAATATCCCATGATGGAGAAAATAATGCACACAGCAAAGAGGAGAACAGTGAACAAGACAAATTCAGCCCACTAGGAAAGAAAAAAGAACAGTAAGTCAGGAGACCCCAGAATCTCAGTCCAGAGGATATCTCTGCACTTTCAAGTGCTTTTTCAAGAGCTGGGCGAAAATTACTTTTTAGTTTTCAAAATGGCTCACAAGATAGAAACTTTCTCATCCTGTTTTCTAGTAAATGCTTGTACACATAATGTAATTATGAATATGTGATATACCTTGAAACAAACCAGTTAGATTGAGCTGGTTTAATTAAATCTTTTCTCGCAAGTCTGTCCTGACTAGAACATATCTACCTGGGCTTTTTGCCCAGAAGATGCTTTTGGGAGAGGCAGCTTTGTGTTAGCCAGAAATAATCCCCAGCTCATGCCTTCATGGCATCATCCCAGAAGCCTGATAGCCTGAATTAAACTACCTCTGCAACACAACCTCCCCACATAATCCTGACATCTGAGGGGTGCCACAGGCAGCTGGCCTGGAAGGATACCCAAGCAAGACCCTGGAGGAGGCTGACTGGTCTAGTTGTTCCTGGTAAGTAACTCAACATGTGGCTGGCATCGTGTCCAGGCTCCAGGTTCAAATCCAGCCAGCTTGCCTAGAGCTGAGCTTCAGCAACCTTATCACAGTGCAGGTCACTGTTATTTGCTGCCACTAGCAGGCTCAGAGAGGGCCACTGCTCCCCAGGGCAACACTGCTGAGGGGTACACAGAGCACAGGCTGGGAGGCAGCTCAGGGGGGGCTGCCATCCCTCAGCTGCAGGAGCTGGGGGCTGTGCAGGGAAGCTGAGCCTCCAGGACACAGATGTCCAGAAGCACCAGAAGCCTGTTTTAAAGCATTAACCTCAGTTTTACGAGCCAAACCATACCTGTGCCATTGGTGCAGCTTCAGCAACAATGAGCACAAAGGTATTCCCCACAGCCACCGTGAGCAGCCAGCCTGCCTGCAGCACCGACTTCATGCTGGCTGGAGACTGAAAAGAGAAGGGCCTGATCAGTGAGTGTCATGCTGTGCCCTTCGGCCCTGTTTCACCCTGTGATGACTGCAGGTGTCACTGGGCTCAGCCTGGGAGGAGGTGGTGGGATTTCCTCTGTGCAGAGCTTAATCTCTGTGGTTAATTTCAACAGCTGCATACAAGGAGCTTTCAAAACATGGACAGGAGGACACATGAAGAAGCAGGAGATGCTGTTGTTGCAGAGCTGAATCCTGGTCATCCCCAACCTGCATCATCTGAAATGGTATGATCAGGAAGTCCAAGGAGCCACACAAGCTCTGCAGCTCGGAGTCTGGTGCCATGTGGCTGTACATTTTTGCAAAAGAGACTGGATCTTGATGTTAAACTTCCTGCTGATAACAAATTATTCACATCCCATTATAGATCATCCCACTGTAATTATTGTCCTTATTAATAAACATCTGCACTTTACTCCAAGGATAAATTTGAGTAGCTTCAACTTTTTGATCTTGTAATATCTCAGTCCTCTCTTCCCATAAACCTCCCCAGACAGCAATCAAATCATCCCTTGCACACTTTTTACCCTTTGCTCTCTCGTTACTGACTCATGTGGGTTTATACCCCCTCAATCTCTCAGTTCAAAGCAGACTCCAGGCTCCCAGGCCACCCTGTAGTCCTTGAGATACCTTTGACTTTTTATCACTGAAAAATACATATCACAAAACATTTCACTGGGAGTAAACCCTGACACTACAGTATTCAGAGCTTTCACATTAAAAGAAACTTCTATCTTGTTCTGTTCCATGTTCTCAGGATTACCAGATAAGGAGTTTTCCAAGTATCATTAAGAACAGGTATCTTCAGAGTATGAATTAATTTAGCTTGAGGGCACCCAGCAAGATGTGTTATAATCCCACTTTCAGCTGAAGCACAGATAACATCGTTAGTAAGTGTCCTGTCAAAGGACATATGACAAGTCAATGATGCAGGAATAAATCCTGAAGTCTAATTGTAAACCCCTTATCATTAAGTGGAATACCTGAGAATAGGAGAAGGCCAGGCCTGTAATGGAGAACATCACCTCCCCAGCAGATATTAGTAAGTATTGTGGTAACTGCCAAGCCATATGGACATTGTTGGCTTTGATGTCTTCTGACTTCCATGTTTTAACAGCACCTCCAGATATCTAGCAGGAAAAATAAAGGCACATTGATTAGCTGCTGAAAGAGCAGATCTTTCTTAGCCTGGACAACAGTGAATTTACCAAAACAACATTTTAAGCAAAGGTGGAAGCAAAGCTCTGCATTTGAAGCAAAACTATGGGTCTGACTCCTGCCATTTCCAAGCCTGTTGGAATGGGCTGACTCCTGCTGCACAAGGTAGAGGGAGCAGGATGGAAGCATTCCAGCTCATTCATGTGTTACAAGAATTCCCTGAGTTATTGTAAACCAACGAGTTGCCTTCTGTAGTTGGGCTGGGAAAAGCCTGTGTGGTACTTCTGCAGAGCCTGTGACCTACTGCTGTCCCCAAGGCCAGAAAAGGATGACAGGACAAGTACTCACTGCAAGCACGTGATCACTGTTCCCATTTTATCAGCTCTGTACAACTTCCCTATGAAAACAGTGACACCCAAACAAATTCAGCTCAGGAATGCCAAGAATAGCAAAGCCTACTCCATATCAGATGTGTTCAGATAGATATGGTAGTTGTATTCCTAATTATTTTTGTTTGCTTTCCCGGGTGTAATTAATACTGCCTCTGAAGCACAGAGGCTCAGAGGCAGAAAGAGATTTGACCAGTAGCCAGAAAAACACTAGGCTGAAATGACTTCAGGCAGAAAGCCCTGTGTTTAAGGAGAGTACGTGGGAAAATACAAGGGATGTTTACGAGATGTACTTAATCACCGACCATTGCCAGGGAGGCAAATCAAGAGACTGTATTTTAGCAGGCTAAAAGGGGTGAGAGGAGGGCTTTGCATTGCTCTTTAGCCCATAAAGAAATGTCACAATGCCCCACACTATAACTGCACACTGTGGAAGGCTGGGTAGAAGGCAGCATCCTCATGATTTAAGTATCATAGTTCAGCTACATTAGCAGACTAATATATTGTATTCTTAGTTCTTCTATATGGCACTTCTGGCAGAGGAGCAAGGCTCAGTACAAATCACTGCAATAATTAAAAGCGATCTTGGCCTGGAGCAAACCAACTCTCTACAGAAGGCAGAAACCACAGAGAGAGAGGGTTAAAAAGATTAAATGACTAGCACGGGGTTCAGAAGGGCTGAGGCACAGAGCCACCCTGAGCAGCCATGGCAGCAGCTTTTGCGGATGGGACCGCAAACAGGAATCCTTGGCCACAGTGATGTGGGACACATCTGCCTCAGCTGGCCCTGACTCAGTTGCGTTACCACAGGCTCTGGGGCAATTTTCTTAATATTTTTCATGCAAGTTCTCTGCTTAGTTTGTCATCTGGTGAAAGAGGCTTGCAGCCATAGAAGAAGGGTCTGGCCAACATCACTTCAAGTGTGTGTGTGTTTTATGTACATAAATCTCTGTAGTCACAGATGGCAGCATCTGGTTGTTCCCTCCAGGGCCCTACATCCCACTCCAGCTACTGGAATTAGAAAAAGAACTGCCAGGTGCTTCATGGCTATATTTTTCCCCCTACGTATTTGGACTATGCAGACATGAACAGCTCCCATTAATTGCCCAACAGGGAGATGCTACTGCCAGGGAGTAGCTGACAACACTTTGCTCTGCTCATCACAACACAGTAGTCAAAGCCTCAGAGGGCAGCTTAGCAGTGTGTCCTGTCAGACCTGGTTTGTCTGTGTGCCTGTGCAGTGGAAAGGTTAAAATGGGAACTAAGCTGAGCACGTTCATCTCTGTGGCTCCAACCAGCTGGACCAGGTTGAAGCAGCGTGTCAAAGAGGCTGGCAGGCAGGGAAAGGAATCCACCCTCTCAGCAGTGCTCACACCTCATCAGGGCTAGGCTGTTCAGAAAACCATGCCTTGACTTTACACTAGGCTCCAAATGAGCTGTACTGACAGTGAGAGGAGGAAACACAGATGTAGAATCTCACCAACGTCCTCCCCCAATACTTTGTCCCTCTTCCCCCTGTGTATAACCTACAAATCTTGGAAAATCAGCCTTTAGTTCAGTAAGTTAAATGAGGGGATAGGGCAGACTGTTTCTGCAGTTTTTCAGGTGTGAGGTACCACCAGGTACAGTACTTTAAAGAGAACAAGCAGTCAGCTCTTGGCAGATGGTAACAGCTCTTTGCAGTGTGCTGGGTCAATGTTAACTGCTCAAGGATGGCGTGAGACCAGCACAAACCAGAGATTATATGATTTGCCATGGAGGATTTCTATCAAGGAAGAGATTTTACTTCTTTTCAACCCATGAGATCTGACGTGATCACAATGTACAGTGGAATGAATACGCACCCATCTTGCTTACATAGGTGCCAAAACCTTTTACTGGCCCTCGCATAATGGACTGCTTTCAGATGGCTACTGCCCAGGTCTCAGAGTGCAGAAAGCGAGAGCCACCAGCATAAGAGCAAAAGCCCTGCCAGAAACTAGAACAGGAGCATGTTACCATCACAGGAACACTTACGTTAGTTATCACAATGGTGTATGAGGCGCCAAAGTCGAGCAGCCCCAGCTCCAGGGGGAACTCTCCTGTTTCAGTTATGCATTTTCCATTATTATATCTAGATAAAAGGATAAAGAACAGTATTTCTCAGTTCCACAGACAAAGAACACAGAGCAGAGCTATCAAATGTGCCCTTAAAATGGGGCAGGAAGGATGCAAGATATAAAGATGCAGCAACATTTATGTCAGATGATCATTAGAGTTCTTGCCAACTTTTCCTTCCGGAAACACTTAGGCACTGACTGGAGTTCACCTAATGATCTGGGCTATTGCTAACATTTCTAAATGGTTTCTGCTTCTTCTTAGTACTGATTTATTTTATTTTTCTTCCCCTCAGGTTTATTTTTCTTCCCAACTTTGCTCCATTCCTTCAGGAACTGTGGGCCAGACAAGCAGTTTGCAGGAAATCAGAGATGTGCACCCAGAAGCCACTTTGTTTCCTTTCAATGGAGCAAATCAACCTTCATATTTGTTCTTCTGATTTTGGATGTGTGAGATGGCACGGAGGCTCAGCAGCATTGCCACAATGGCTGCTACATCCTACTAAATTGCGGCAATAAATATTTTGGATGGAGTTGATGCAGAGAAAAGCCATGAAAATTGTTTTGAAACACTGGAAATGCTAGAAATACCCTACAAGAGCCAACTCTGATGCTGCCAAACCAAGGCCATATGGAGCCCCTAACAAGCTCAGCCTGCAAAGCCATGTAATGCTACTTGATGTTACCTGCCCACGTACCAACACTCTGTAGCGTGGAATATGAATTGGCCTTTCTGTGAGAGCACACTAACACTAAGAACCTGTGCCTGAGAGAGTATCAAAATAAAGCAGGACCCAAATGGCAGAGGGGACCTCACCATATTCCACCTTACTCTGCTGACAGATGCACGGGAATGACCAGTCTCTTCCCTCCAGGTCCCCACATAATGTGAATAAAAGCCTCTGCATGCACACAAGTGGCCTGGAGCACCTGCTCTGCATAGAGCTGGTAGTTCTACTTTTTACAAACATCTGCCATAACCAAATGCCAAGACAATAGCAATGAAGGTTTTGCTATTAGCCTGAGAAAAGCCTCAATGTATCCAAGGAAATGCCTCAGCAAGGACCTTCAGCACAGCAAGGGAAACTTACATGTCCCTCTCCAGCAGTGAGTACTCAGAAGGGCTGTAGTTTTTCTGAACAGCAATGAACTTTCTGCTATCAATGGTGAGGTTGACATCTTGGCTCAAACCATTAATGAATCTGCAAAGAAATCGTATTTCACTGAGCTGTCAGACAAGGCAGGAGAAACATTATAGCAGACATATCAGAAGTTTGCTCCCTCTCCCAAAGTGTACAAGTAATTCCATAAGGTTATGACATTCTCTTCTGCAAGTTACCAAAATATTAGTCAAATTCATTGCCCAGTTTTTCAATATAAGTTTCCCTGCTGTGTAATTTTACTCTATCTCCTGTGGAAAGTGATCCTCACTTTTTGTGGGTTAGAACTTCCAGGCAATCCCTTCTCAGAGACATTCAAAGATTGCAGCAAATCCAAAGGAAGCTACGAAGACGATCAGAGGCCTGGAGCACCTCTACAATGAAGACAGGCAGAGAGAGTTGGGGCTGTTCAGCCTGAAGAAGAGAGAGCTCCAGCTCTCTTACAGCACCTTCCAGTACCTCAAGGGGTTACAAGAGCTTAGAGAGGGACTTTTTACAAGGGCATGGAGTGACAGAAGAAGGGGCAATGGCTCTAAACTGAAAGAAGGTAGGCTTAATTTATATAAGATCTCTTCATTATGAGGGTGGTGAGGGCCTGGTACAGGCTGCCCAGAGAAGCTGTGGCTGCCCCATCCCTGGAAGTGTCCAAAGCCAGGTTGGATGGGGCTTTGAGCAACTGGTCTAGCGGAAAGTGTCCCTTCCCACAGCAGGACAGTTTGAATGAGATGATCTTTAAGGTCCCTTCCAACCGAAACCATTCTATGATTCTATGACGATTGCTCTGTGGCTGTTTGAGAGGACAGAGCCTCAGCCACCACAGGAAACTATGAAGCTGTGTATCCTGATAAGCATGTGCACCATGCTGACAATGAGTTTCTACCAGTGGGAAAGAGTTTTCTAGCACAGTAAGATATTTTCATCAAAAGAAAAACCTACATGGGAATGTTTTGGGATTTTGTTGTTTGTTTTTTTTTTTTTTTAATACATAAAAGACAGTTTCCTTTTGACAACTCAAAAATTGTTGGCAAAAACCAAATGCTTTTTACTTGATCTATATCTTAAAATATTTTGGTTTTCAGTTCCTAAAATGGGGGTGTAATCCCTGAAGACAGTCAAGTGCTTAATGAAAAAAAAATTTTCAGTGGAAAAATAGTTTCTTCCTCCTTTTTACAAATTGTTAAGAGGAAAGTTTGGGGATTTTGTCAAAAATGTCCACAAGAAAATGTAAAACATTCCTGACTGCAGGTATTAATCAAGTAGTGTTTAGCCAGTAGAAGCCTTCACAAGCACAGGGCTATGAAGAGGAGCTGCTCTCCTGTTTTGTCAACATAGGCTTTCAGATAAGGGTGTTAGACATTGTTTTTGAGGTTTGTTTTGCTTGGTTGTTTCATAGTTTTACTTTTGTGGTGGGGGTTTTTTGGGTCTTTTGCTTTGGTTTTGTTTGTTCTTTTTTTTTTTTTTTAATTTTAGCTTGCCCAAATCCTCCAGACAGTGCACAAGGATTTTTTTTTTTTAAATTTGCTTCTTCTGCATGTCAGCAGCTGGCACAAGCTAGCACAGGAGTGTTCATGGACTACATAGACTAGCTCAAATTAGGAAAGTAGACTAGCTGCTTGAGCGGAGCCCAATGCCCAGCTGAACTGTTTACAAGGATGTAAAACTGTTGCTGTATCCAATTTAGTAGGCATTTGGGCATAAGGTTGAGTGAGAACATCATGAGTTGGCCAGTTTGCAGAGGACATGGCAACAGCTCCTATCCAAACTGCTTCTTCTCTTTCTTTCCCAAAGAGGTGGCACAAAGTGAGATGAATTTGCCACTTTTCCAAGGGAGATCTTTTATGTTGCCATCTCAGCCCAGACTATCTTAGGCAGTAAGCAGCAATAATGCTCAGCTCTGCATGGCATGTGTGGGAGGTGACACTCTGTCAAGCCTCCGCAGCTGACACACGTCTTGCATGAGAAGTGTGGACTAGATTCCAACCCAAGAACATCTGGGTTATGTTAGACAGTTTGCATTAGACAAAAGCACTTTCCCTCTCCCGACCACCTCCAAATCCTCAAAAAAATCCATTCCTACCTAACAGCTGCCAAACCATTTTCTGGCTTTGCTTCCAAGTCTGTAATCTAAAGAGGGGAAGAAAAAAAAAAAATCAAACATATTTATTAATGCTGCCTTTCAACAATGTGAGGCAGAAAACACTAGTGCTGTGGAGTCACACATGTGCTGCAAAGCCTGTGGAAATCGATTGTACTCTCACATAAGCTTTACGTCAGGTCACAGATGGGAAGTCCTGATACAATGAAGCCAGCGGCAAAATTTCATCTCCACTAAGATGAGATCATAGTTTTTCCTGTCATCTCCTCTGTAACAAAGCCTACAGAGTTTCAGCTGGTCACCCTTCTATTGAGGCATGTAACACCCTCCAAAAAAGTATTTGTCTTGATCTGGAGACAGTAAGAGAGCATTATCCACGTTACCATCTTTCATTGATTAGTTACAAGTAAACTTGAGTGCCTTACTCCTACAAAACCTGAAACTGTCCAACTCTCAGACCCTGATTTTTGTCACATTCATAGACTTCACAGAAGTCTAAAGCCAAGAGGAACTGCTAGGTTACTATTCTGATCATCATGTACCACTCATATTTTCCCTGACCCTGAATACTCAAGAGATTAAACTGCTGTATGGTGCCAGCAGAGAGAAGGAGAGACCATGATGGACCGACCTTGTTTGTGCTCACAGTTTCTGCAGACAAATCCCTGAAATGGCCACTTGGATGGGCACACTGGGGAGTGAGCATGTCTCTCCTAGAGATCACAGCTAGAGCAGCAGCTTAGTAGTTAACATGGTCAACATTCCTTCAAAGAAAGCCTATTTGGTGTACAATGCTGAAAAAACACAGTGAAGACACAGCCCTGCCCTGAAGGTTCTATGTCACACAAAAAGAATACAAAGCAAGGCTCTTGGCTGGCAGAAATCCAAAACTGTGCCGTGTCCATTTAAGCTGGCAGGGCAATTTCAATTTGCGCTGCCCACAGATGGAACTCTGGCAAGCCAAAGGAGACTGATTCCACCTTCAGAAACTGGCTTTCTCTAAAAATTTTCTGGCCCTTTCTCCACACTTTTTTCCTGATGCTAAATCCTGAGCTTCTGAGACCAAGGATCCAGAATTTCAGTATACCTATAAAACGTCTAGTGTACCTAGAGTGATATGCTACCCACAAATAACATATGCCCTAAATAATAAATAGCCACAGTGAATAATAAATGCCAGAGTAATAAATAATAAACAGCAACATCATTTTTTTTCCATGGGAGACACATGGGGATGAACACTTTAATTCATTGCAGATAGGCCAGCCAAATTATAACTCGTTTTCATCGATGATCCCCAGAGCTCTCAAATTCATTTCCTGCCTACTCAACAGCCCACAAAGGAGAAGAAACTAATTTCAGATTGGATCCTTCCAGGAAAGCAATCCCACCTGAGTGAGTGGGCCAAACCCAGCAGTGTGGGAAGTTACTCCAGGGCAAGCACAGCAACACAGCAGTGATACCAGCATTGCCTTCCTTGTGTTGCAATGCTGAAAAAATGAGTATCATTTACCATGCTGTCTTCCACATCTCCCTTATCTACAGCTGTGAATGACAGGTCAATAGCATCCCCCAACAGCACGGCTGTTTCCCAGCACATGGGAGCCTGCCCACGCCACGGTGGGCACTAATTTAAGCACAGGCTGAATAGCTAGGGCAGCATAGATGTACTGAAGCTCAGAGATTGCTTTGCTTCAGCCTGTCACAAGCTTTTGCTTCTTAAGGACTGTATGAAAATCACTGTACAAGTATCCGTTTCTTAAGGCAACAGCACTCAGTCATCAAGGTCGCAGGGAAACTTAACAACATTGTGTGATAATGAGCTGTAGGCTCCAAACCATAAAGGCAGCAAAAAACCTTAATGTTATGACAAAATAAATTCTTAAAACTCATTTTTAAAAACAGTTATGTGATTTCTACTATACGATATTCACTGTTTCATGTGGCAACCCTGAAATGTAGGAGGCTGAGAAACTGCAAAGAGAATGGATATTTTAGCATGAGGAGAGATTCTGATGGCATTTACACACCTGCCACAGTGTGCAATGACACCATCCATTTCAAGGGAGCTTCTTAGGATACAGCTACACATAAAAGACATCAGAATCTGCCCTATACCTCACAGTATGCCCTTCTCTGATTGTTGCAGCAATATACAAAAGTCCAAATGCAGATGGCTCTGCTGCAGAGCCTGAAATGAGCTTAATCATTTATTCTGTTCAGCAAAACAAATGGGCCTTCTGTGCATTTTCACTAAACACTTGCAATAACTAAACCAGGAATCATTCCTCTGATGCTGTTATTCCAGGGCCAGCCCTAGAGCCTCTTTAACATCTTTGCTTTATAAAACCATCTTTGGGGGGAAATCTCTGGCTCTCTGTTTCCCCAGCTTTCTCAAGCTCTGCTGCCTAGCAGGCATGACTCTGCTCTCCCACTGCAGCATTCAATGGATTAAAGTGTGCCCAGAAACTCTCAGATGCCACAACGCCTCTATTAATCAACCAGTAGAAGTGTGTACAGATCCAGTGCCGCTAGCTAAGAAGTCAGGTTTAGAGCATCTGAGAGCAATCAGACAGACATTGCAACTGAGCAAATGAATTAATGAGCCTATTACCCCATTGTAGCATCACAGCCATTGAATTAATACTGTATTTACACTTCACTCCCACACTCACTAAGCGGCTTGATAGGCTTCCTTCTGCCTCAAAAACAATTAAGCTGTATACTGATTTTTCCTTCACGGTGTAGTTAAAAGCAAGAGTCAATCCTTGATGTTGCAGGGTGAAGCGAAGGCTCTGTTGCTCTCCATTCAATATTAATTTTGAGTATTCAGCTGGGTTCTGTGAAAGAAAACAAACTCGGTTACACTTTCTTCAGATGACAAAGGATCTGTCTTTTCCCACTAAGTGCAACACTATCCTCTCTTCAAAGGAGTCTGTAACCCTGTTATCCTTTGTTCCTAATTACAGGTAAATGTAAGGTGTTCCCTTTGCCACAGAAATATGTGTCGAAGTGTTCAATTTCTGTCTCATATAACAGAGATAATATGTTCCATTTGTAAAGCTATTCCCATACACTTCTAAGGCAATGGAGGAGAACAAGCTTTTGCATCTGTTGGCTTTATTAGAAAATGCCTTAAAAAAAAAGCCCATCCTTTCTTCAATGGGATGCAAGTCAGGCTTTCCAGCCCCAAATATGTTTACCTGAAAAGTCTCCACAGGCTGCTGAAATAGGTCCTTTTCCTGGATTGTCACTTGAACAGGGTTCTTTGCCAAATTCAGGACCCGAATTAAACTTTCTTCTGGGACAAGTCGAGGCATATCAGTTTCCTAATTAAAGTAAAAGGCTTTAAGTGCCATCTGTATGCTTTATTAGCACTTTAATATCTCTTCATTTTTAGCCATAAAAGTCTTCCTCTCTGTAATGACACTTTTCCATCCCTTCCTCATCAGAAGTTGCACTCAGCAAAAACTGAACATAAATCTTATTTAGGGAGGTTTCCTCATAGTAGCTCAATAGCCAACCCATCACTCCTCCCAAAAATTCTCTTCACACCCCTAAGCATAGAGACTACACACCTACTGAGCAGGTAGAACAATGTCACAGCTTTCATTATACAGCTCCCTAGTGCCTGGATTTAACCAACTGCCATATCAGAATGGAAAAATTTTTGCTGAGCTTTCAAAAGCAGTGACCAGAATAATTATTTCCCGTTGCAGTCAGTGACTGGGAAAAGAATCAGACCAGAAGCTAAGCAATTTGAAAATCCCAGTCCAGCTCCATGCCTGTAATTGGTGCTTTTGCATTACTTGACACCATGCTATCTAAATGCTGACTGTATAGATCTTATTCCCTGTTTTCTGAGAAAGGGAAGATGATGCCTCCAGCCCACAGGTATCTCCTTCTGTCAGGAATCATTTCCTAGAAAGAGTACATCAATCAGTGTCAGCCTTGTACTACCTGCAGAGCTAATTTTTTTTTTAAAGCCCTGTTTTCTTCTCACTTTATTTTCAAGTAGCTGCCAGCAATACTGCAGAGCTATTCATTTTTCTCTATCATATCTGATAATTTGGGTATTGCAGGCAGTGTATTTTGAACCTAACTCGGTGGGGATGCACACCACCACAGAAGATAGAGCGAGCTGATTTCCCTGTATCCACATGCTGCCAACAGGTCTGTTAATGTTACAGCAAATTCCATTATTGTGGCTTTTCACTTCTGCAACCCCACATCCAAGAGAAGGTGTGCCAGCTTATCCTCTAGAGCTTATAGGGCAAAATTTTAGCCTTCAGGATAAAATTTTCATTCACAGGCAGGGGAGAACCTCTAACTCACCTTGCCTCTGCCCAGAGGAGTCACCCACAGCCAGAGCAAATTTCAGTGCTCTGCAAGAGCTGCTGCTGGTGGCAATGAGAGCATTTCTTTGTTCACATAAAAAGATCAGAAAAAAGACCTGAACCCACAAAGTCTCATTTCGGTGGGAGACTCATTAGTGGATTCACCTGAGGAACCAGCAGATGTTAATCTGGCTGTGTGCCAGCCACTCTAACAGAACATTTTAAGCATACATGAAAGCTTTAAAAATTAATCCTATAGTAACTTCCATGAGACAAAGGTCAGCCAGAGTCTGCACAGTGCTGGTCTTGGGCCAGAAACAAACAGCAAATCTGCAGGAGCTAACACGGAATTTACAAGAGATTTGCTGCCATCCTGTCTGAGGATGCCCAGCAGTCCCTAATGCCTCTGACTGCGTTCACCTGTCTCGCTGCAGAAACCATTTGGCTTGTGAAAAAACACATCCCCACCCGAAAGTAGCAAAGTAATTAAATTAAAAAACCAAAACCACCACATACATACACAAAAAGACCCCAAACAGAAAAATATAGGCAAGGTACAGCAAGAAATAGGAGAGAGAACGGACTACCTTTTGGGAATTAATCACTAGCATTAACTAGATGTCTGTCAAGCACTTTGACGATGGAAATCTAGAATATAGACCAATACAGATGACCAGCACAGCAAAACTGCAAGACTAGAAAGAAAGACATAGAGACAGAGAAAAAGAGAGGGAAAAGTAGACAAGGTAAGAATTATCATTAGCAACTGGATTGGTATGCTCAATTGTAAAGAAAACATTACAAATTATGATCAAGGAACACAATGGTTAAAAGGATTATCTAACAGATATCAGTAAAAACACCCCAGGGAAAGAAAGTGTTTCTGAGGAATCCTTTGTGCTTTACTTACATTTATTTTGATTTCTATAATAGCTGCAAGTCCAAACGCCAGCCCTGCAAGGATCATACCTGTTGCCATTTTTCTAATAGGTCTATGGAGCAAATGAAAGAGGTACATTAAGGAAAAAAAGTAATTTAAACTATAGAATACCATTCCCCAGAGCCAAATATGTGCCAAAACCATGTAATAAACTGTCCAACAGGTGGCACCGGGGATGACAGGCTGTTTAAATTGCCAATCATTTAACTTAAAACTATCTTATTAATCTGTATGAGGCCAGCACTGAGGCCAATTAAAACTGATACGCCATGAAAAAAAGCTCTTTCCTTGCAAGTTTCATATTATCTTTTTCCCAGCTCTTCTAGTGGGAATAGCTCATGGCATTATGTTAATCTGTAATACTGGAAGGAGCACTAGAAATGATGTATCTTCAAGTCCCTTTTGGGAAAGGCAAAAGAAGAGTAGCATGCTACTTAGCAGTGGGAACGAGGAGCAGAAAAATGTGTAGTTTGTGTCATCAATGTTTCTGACCATCTGGGGCATCATTCTGGGTTATTTCTGATGCCAATGCATTTACATTTCTAGAAAATAAAGAGCTTGCTTCTAAACTCAAGGCAAAACTAGTGCAACTCTACCAGAGTTACATGAGACAATCTGATAAAAAGCAGAATAAAACAGGTCCAGAACAGCATGTCCAAACTAAGTATTGAACTGCAGAGATTTGAAACAAATCTGGTTGTAAATTCAGTGATCTCCACTCTTTGTAATGGTCTTTAGTCCTGGTATTCAGTCCTAATCGGTGCTTGAGTTTGTGCTGCTGAGTGAACTACTCTGTGAATTGGTCTCCAGGTAGAAAGTTTTCTGTCAAGTCAGGGCACAGTCCGGGCCATGGGCTCACACTGAGGCAGCAAGGAGAAGCACAGCCTCTGGGCTGTGTCCTCCAAAAGGCACCACTGCTGGGCTAGACATTGCCTTGGATATGTCTTTAGGTGCAAGTAATTCAGCATGATGGGAAAGGATCAGCAGGGTGAAGGGGTAGACTTCTGAGGCTCCTTCCATCCTCGTTTTATGTGGATTTGCCTGTCCAGCATTTTAATTTGCATTAGGAACATGCTTTTTAAGCCCATCTCCCCACTCATCATTCCTTCCTACACTGTGGTTCACATGGAGAAGTGGTGCTGGAGCATGGAAACCTGGTTCCTTTCAGTTGAAACTGCACTGGCAAAGGCACTCCATGAATGCTCATAAACCTACTCCCAGTGCTACAGGGTGTCAGTCCACAGAGGCAGAACAGAGAGACACGGAAGTAATATCACCCAAAATGCACAAAGTGGGTCTCAGAAACAACCTGGAGATCTGCTTCTATTACACTGCACTTGTTGCTAACACAGACTAGGGATAAAGTGCTTGGGTCATACAAAAACCCCTTATGCACTCACTGATTCAGATCCTAATATGGAATCTGCTTTCACAATACCACATGCAGCCCACATGGGATTAGGAATTTGGCCCACGTGAACCTTTCAGGGAGGGAATTATTTAGGCATGATATAGGAAATAAGATGAAGAACATGTTTAACAAATTCAAAATGAGACTATTCATATCTGCTTTTGGGGAAAATCTGTACAGAGCAGAACCCAACATTACAGAGCTTTCCCCTCTGGAATTTCCAGGATCTATGGAAGAGGGTGATGCTGCCTCTTGGGGCTGAAGTATATAATCAAGTACTGGGAAGGGTGAATGGAAATTTGTGTTTTTCCTCCTTAAAAGCTATTCTGCACACTTTCTGCAAAAGAAAAAGCACTGAGGCACCTGCATCGTCTCCAAGTACTTACGTGAAATTAAATTTGCACATGTCTATCAGGGGGTAGAGCCCAAGGTCAAAAATTGGGATGAAGACAAGAATAAGAAGTGGATTTAAGAACTGCAATACAAAAGAATGGGAGTTTAGTGACTAGAAAGCAACTTCCAGTAATTAAACCCATAAAGCAATGTCCTCCAGAAATAATTCCATTACAGAAAGGACATGGACAAACACTTAAAAATCTCCTCTTAAAATATAATCACAGTTTGCACTTAACAGCTTCTGCTATTTAGTTTTCACAGGCATGAATACATTTTGTTCATATCCTCCCCTCTAAGAGGTAAGCAAGCACCATTGGCCCAGTTTCCCTGGAGAGAGAACTGAAGCATGATGTTTTTAAAGAGTACAAACCCCACTGAAAATAGACACAGGTGACCTTTGGTGCTGTGGTGGGACCTAACAACAAATCAGCAACAATGGAAACATCTTGGGACTCCAGCAAAATCCCAAAGGAACAGGCACTATTCTGTGAGACTGGCAATATCTCGCACTTCCACACATCTTGGTAATCCCCTAGGAACAAAATTTCTCCTGGGAGGGGCACAGCTTGTCTGCCTGCCAGCAGTGGCAGCACAAGAAAATAGAGAGTGATGGAGAACAAGCAGAGGGAAATGTTGTTTCAGTTCCGAAGGAAGATTTCGGGGAATAGAACAGCTTTGAATTTCTCCAGAGCTGTTCAGCGTAGGAATTGTAATCGACTGTGACAACACAGCACCATCTTGGAGCTTTCGCATTTTCATCTGCCTTGCAGAAGGGGAAAAAGCAACATATTTCAGGAACAACACTCATCCCAGCACAGAGGCCTGTTAGAAGGAGATGCAGCTTGTATCCTCCACAAGTCAGCACTAGTTCAAGAACTATTATGATGGCAGAGGTTTTCCTACACCTCTGCACTATTCTGCAAGATTCAACCTCTGTGTTAGGACATCCTTGGGGTCTTCTGAACCCCAAGGCTAAGCCTAAAAGCAGCTAAAGAACAATAAGGTAAAGTCCACACCACAGCAACCAGCAGGAGCACTGCTACTGCCTTCAAAAGGAGCAGAGAAAGGCCACTGGTCTCATGAGAAAAATAAAAATGAAAGAGAAAAATAAAATACATTCTAAGGGTTATTGCCTACCCTGTAATATCTTTTACCTGCATTTGGTCAGGTTGAAGGACATATATTCCCTGAAACAAAAAGATATTGCAAATGATTCATAAACACTATAATAAATCAGTGCATATGGCAAATAAGGAACTGGTCCTGTAGAGGCCTTAGCAGCCAAGGTGCTTCCTCAAATGCTTTATGTTGTCTTTAGCAGCTGATATTGTGCTCTTGATACTTGTCATCTAAGGACACAGTGTTTATTAAGATCACTTTGCAGAAGGAAGCTACACTCAGTCCTTGATATTCGGCATCTGTGACACAACCCATGACAGGTACTGAGGCCCATCTTTCAGACTGACTGAGCCATGAACTACGTGAGTGGAAAAGAATGGGTGTGTTAGTGTCCAAGCTGGGATGTGGGTTTAGAGCTTCCTTCCTGCCGTTTCTGTAATAGGAAAAGCCTAAATCCTACAAGTGAGTGCTCCCAAGCTTCAGGACCCTGTGAGCTCTGTGGGCATTTCTCCCAAGCCTCAAAAAGCATAACAAAATACCATTCTTGAGCCAATGGGCTGCACCAACACCTCTTTCCTCCTTCCATCTGTACCTAACAGGCTTTGGTCAACTGGACTTCTTGGTTTGAGCACGGAAGGACAAAGGGATACCAGACCCCAAAAGGGACAGATGACCTGTCTCCAGGGAGGGACTGGTGTTTGTCTGAACTCCACAAAATGCTCTTCATTTGAAATTAAGATGAAGAGACGGAGAGGCAGGGGGAGGGAAGGAAAGAAATTAGAAAGGATATAATATCTTTCCAAGAAAGTGCTCTGGGGGTTTGTCTCCTGTCTACCAGGCTTGTCCTCAGCTTAGCCTAGAATGGCTGCCTGTCTCTGCCCGCAGCTGCCTCCTGGGAGAGTGGAAACTGCTGGTCACAGCAATGGAGTCAATTAAAAATATCAGGCAAATACCCCCTCCTGCTACTTTGTGCCTACTACAGGAATGTGCCATTAGGAAACAAGCCTGGAAGTATTTCATCTGACACTAAATCACTCCCTGTTTGACTCCAGACTTCCTAGCTGAGCCTTTGTCTGCAGAACAGAAAGTCACAGAGTATTACAAACGTGAACTCCAACAAGCCTAACGGTGGGATCACCCCAATGTTGAAGTTAATTCTCATCTTCTTGAGCTGGGACAACTCATGAGGGAAGAGTGGATGAGACTGAAACAAAAGCCAAAAAAACTATCCAAGTTGGTGTGCCAAAAAAAGCCCTGAATATGTCCTTTTCCACCCAGGAGAGTTTAATAGTGACATCTGGTGATTCTTATCTCTCCTGCTGACGGATCGCTAACTGCATGTGAGCAAAACAGTAGAAATAAAAGGTTTTAGAAATACATCACAAAGACTGCATGGATTTACATTGTTTTGTCTTTCTGAGGTCGATAAATATTATCCAAGGTGTAGTCTTTTTCATGCCTCATTTGAACTAATTAAGCCTAATGAGTATCACATGTTGAGAGCCCAATTTTTAACAAGAGAGACCTAGAAGGTCCCAGATTTGGGGCTTTAAGTCAATTTTAAACTGGAAAATGGTCATTTACAATCCCAGATTCTGATGTGGGTATCCACAGATAATATCTAGATTGCCTGTTAAAACATATATGCCTGAAAACCAGCCCTGTATGGTGGCATCTTTGGGCACACAGCTGATCTACATTTATCTGCGACTGCAGCCTGTACCTTTTGCCATTCACACCTTTGAAGAACTATATGGCAACTAACTAATTAATCCTCATCGCATCCCTAGCCTATACCCAAGAATCCTCCTGATTTTGAGAGGCTTCATTAATGTATCACCAAGTAAGCCAGAGCAGAAATACACAACTACATCAGCTCTAGTCACACCTTCAAAGGGCTGTGTGACTTCTCTGTCTTCAGTGGGGGCAGCAGGATGAAAATGCCACCTGCTCTACGCCACAGAGTGACTGGTTGCCTGAAGGTCAGCACCCCTGACCTGCTGATGGGTCCCCAGCCCTCGCTCCTTGCACAGATGAGCTGTGATGAACCGAACACGGCTGCACAGAGCCGCTCGCTTCCAATCACCAAAAGTGAAACTCACCCAGGTTCACCAAGCAGACGCTCTTAGTACTGCAAGGCTCCGGTTAAAAAGCAAGAGAAGTGATGTTACTACTAGTCTTATCAGCCCTGGTGACATTAAGTACTTACAAAATCAGCATTCATTTTTGTGGCTTGCAAAGTCCACCTGGATCCCTAAGGAGAAAACAGACAGCTGTGAAGCCTTCAAAATGTCCCGGGGGACTAGAAAACACGGGGACAGAGAAGATGACAGCGCTGGGGGTCTTATTTCCCATCTATTCCTTCCCTCCCCTGTAACACCTGTCAGCAGGCAGTGCACATTCTCTCTTCTCACCCTCCTCTGTCAGACACCTGGCAGGACTGTGAAGGGATGGCCAGCAGTGATGGTGGAAGCCCCGGACACCTGGTAGGAGCATGGCCCTCTGTGTCCCCAGGATGCTTTGCTGTTACCCCGGAAGGACAGAGGTGCAAACCCAGGCTGGCAGGCAGACCTGTACACAGTGTACTGTACCTGCTGATCAAACAGGGCCCAGAACATTGGCAGTGGTATGAAGAGGAAGAGAACACGTGTGACCATTTTAACTTCCCCAATCAGCTGTTTCTAAAAAGGGAACAGGCAAAAAGGTAAGGTGGGGGTGTAAAGCCAACAGGTGATTCAAGCCATAAAGCATAAGAACTCCTATTTCTTTCTGCATGGCAGTTCTTCATTGCACTTACTCATGATATGGGACATGTTTGCTCTTCTACAATTCAATGCAGCACCTAAACTGTCCATTGAGGGTCAGGAGAGTACAGATGTGGGAAGGGACAGGAAAATGTGTGCCCAGAGTCAGTCTTACTGTCTCCCCGTCTGTCTGCCTATCTGCCCCCTTCCCCCTCCAAACTTGCCAGTTAGACCATTGCTTACCGAGTATTTTTCTGATGCCCAGTCCAGCCAGTGATCCCTCTTTGGAATCTCACGGGAGCGGTTTTTCAGCCGGTTTTTAATAGCAAACTAGGGAGAAAAACAGGTGAGTAACTCACTTGTGCCGTACCTGCCCTTGTCACAATCCCAATTCAAGGCTGCCTTCCCCATCCCCAAATGTAAGCAGTGCCAGAAAACTGCAGGGGGTTTTGCTGAATATTTCCAAAATCTCAGATTGGATGCTTTTTGATGAATTCTCTGCAGGGAAGTTTCTGTGACATTGGTTGATTAAAGGTATGATGTGGAAATGAATCATAGAATATCCTCAGTTGGAAGGGACCCACAAGGATCATCAAAGTCCAACTTCTAGCCTGTTTATGCTGTGTGCTCCAGTCAGTGGACACACTGAACACAGCCACCCTGGCAAAAGGAGTGGTAGACCTCACTTAGAAATCCTGTCTTTAAGACCTCGCCTGTTTCCCCAAGGTAAATCTGGCACTAGGGTTGACCTAGATAAAAAGAAAACATCTGCTGTTAGCAACAGCTTCCTGAAATAGAAACATCATTATCCACCTAATAATAAGACAGTATTTTTTCACATACTGTATTCAGCTCACACACTATGAAAAACAATTGATAAGGCTCTAATGCAACTTCAGCAGGTGTCTCTTGCATTTACATGAACATGCTGAATGTGCATAATACGAATGTGTGCTATCACTGTCTGCTGAACTGATAAACTTCAGTAAAATTATTTAGCTGAAAAAAAAAATGGAGTCATATATCTGATACTCTGAGTTTCTGAATTTTCCTTTTAGTTCAGTCTCCACCAGCATCTGCCACAAATGGTTCTACTGAGGTCAACTGAACAGTTCATGGAGCTAAGGAGAGACAATTCAAATGCTGAAAGAATAAACTAGAACCTAAATGTGTTTCTCATTCCTTTCAGCTCATCAGCAAGATATCCAGAAGCAGCATACAGAACTCCAAAAGTCACCTCCCCTTTGCCTTTGCACTTTCCTGTCCTGCAACCTCAGAGTTATGCATGAAAAAGAGAATGGCACACACTTACACCGATGCATTTGCACACTTCCAGTAAGACGTTCCCTTGTGGTGGTGTTTTTCTGTACAGTCCACTTCCAGCAATGAACACAACTGAAAAAATATTATAATCCAAATGGGAATTCGCATGGCTGAAGCTCAATCCTGCACTGGCTTCTGGGAAGGATCCCCCACCCCCGTATTTAACAGAAATGCTCTGCCCTTGGGGCTTACAGGATTGCACTTTTAACTAAATGAATATACAAGAATCCTCTCATGCCTTCAGATGGAAGAAAATGCAACATCCTACAAGATGCAGTGTGACCCCTAGGAAGTCACCATCATCATCTCATGCTGCTCTGGAACAACAGGTACCTCCACATCTGATTCATGCTGGGAATAAAACTTCGAAAATTCACTCCATTTGTGCTTCGTGTAGACTAAACTTAAAATACAATCCACACTGAATTGCTGCACCTGATCTCAGACCTTACTCATTGCAAGAGTGTGAGGATTAATCCAGATACAACATGGGTTCTGTGTCCTTTAATCTCACACACATTTCAACAGCAACTGCCACGAAGGTCACTGCGTCACATACAGGTGTTAACAGAAATTACCTCTGCTCATGGTTTCCACAAAGGGTTATACAATTTAAGATACTGTTTTGTCTTGATTTCCTTCCTCAAAGCACAAAGAATATCAGATCGAGACTTCAAAATCCTGTCAGAGATGGAGCTACTCGATTATTTATCATTTATCCTGCTCTGTGAGAGCCTCTGAGCACATTACAATTCCAAAGACACTATCAGGGAGAAGCACAATAAAAGCTAAGCATGTAATCCATATAATAAATCAACTAACTTCTTAAACTAACCCAATTGTCTGGTCAGTCCACAGCCAGTGGCGAATAGCAGGTACCTCTATTGCAACACAGGAGGCCTGGAACTCGGCAGGGAACTCACCTTTGTTCTTTTCTAACTATGAAGACTTTTAGCATCCAGGTTAGACCTCTGAGAGACGTCTGAGGTCAGTTTAGATGAGTTGCACTTTGCACTTGTGCAAAGTCACCCAGAGGGGTAGCTGCACTACCTAATTTTTAGCATCTCCCTGTGAAGCTGTTGGCGCCTCTAAAAGGTGATTCATTAGGTTCACCTAATGAATACCTTCTGGCAATGCCACTGACTACTTTGGGAGCTGAGGTTCCTGAATTAGGTTTGGCATTTGGCATTAAACAGTATCAATCTACCCCATCAGTCAGAAACAGAAGCAGTGCAGAAAATCTTGCTCTGTAAGAATTTCATTATGCCTCTTAATCTATCCTTGGTCTCCATCATCATGGGGAGAGAGCTAGTCAGGGCCAAAATAGTTATTTCATCCAGTTCTGCATGCTGCTCACATAGTCAAATTTCCCAGAGCATTTTAGCATGTTACAAAAGAACACAGAGCTGCTTCGGTGGGCAGGCCATAGAATCTGGCAGCAGGACACTAGCTAAAAACACATTTCGATTGATGCCTTCGTGGAAACTGAAATATTTACACGTTCGTTTTCTCCTGGGCAACTACTACTCTGCTAGAAACATTCATCACACAATGGTGCACAGAGGAGCCTGTGCTGCCTTAAACTGATAGGAATGGGCCACAAGGGGAAAACTGAAGCTTCTCAGGCCTGTGACCATGCACTTTTTTGAAAATAATTGATGTAACGTTAGCTGTGGCCTGATGACATTTCTTCAGTTTACTGACTCTTCTCCCTGATGGAAATTTGAGCGGAGACAGCAACATTCACATTCTCTGAGGGATGAGCTTTTCAAATCACAGATGCTGTGGTGAAATCACACAATTGCTTGGTCTCTCAGTGAAGCTAACAATATGAATGAGAAGCCAAAACCTCACAAATGCAGCGCAATAAGGGGACTGCTCTCCTCAGCATCTTGAAGATGTGAAACTAAAGCTAATGGGATGTCCTCTGTACTGGCTATCAAGGAGTAACAGTAAGAATGTCGAGACTGCTGAGTATTTTATAAGGGTTGAAGAAGAAATCTTGACAAGTACATTAATGGGGCTAAGACGCAAGCTTTAGGAAGCAGGGGGATTGTGGCTGCCTCCTGACAGTTGGACAATAAGGACTTTTTATCGCAACATAATAAGTTGTCACTGTAATTGTGGGAATTACTTCAGCCAAGTAAAATGAGACAGCTCAGAACAAAGTAACACCTTGTTCAGCTCCTTCTGCAATTCCTGTGGCACACTGATTCAGCAGCAAAAGTCTGAGACGTTAAAGGTGGCCCAGAACTGCAAAGAGCCCGTGGAAAGGTTCGAAGCAGCATCTTAAGCTTCTCTTTTATAAGCTGGGGGAGTCTGAGGACTGCTCAGATTGCAGTTCAAAGGCCAAGCCTGCTCATAGGCAAAGCTGCAAGCCACAAGGAGAATCATTTTGATGCATCCCTTTGCATTAGAGCAAAGCATCCACCAGACCACACCCTTAACAGTATCATGATAAAGTATTGCAGTAAAACCATGGTCTGTCCACTATCAGTGAACTACTGATTTTTCTTGCTGTTCTGAACTGTGGAATTGTTGGATGACCTTGAACCCTTGCATTTCCCCTTGCAGAATTAGTGAATTTGTGCATTTTCTCATCTATCCATGGACTCAAAATGGTAACTTCTATTACAAGCATTACTGTTTCCACTCACCAAGCGCCAACACCATCAGTGCTGCTGGGACGCCAAAAGCCAGTGCATAACAATCCTCTCCAAAACATTTCACATCCCCTGAAAAAGAAGTCAGAAATAAAAGCACCTCATTACAGTCAGACTTATGGTACTGGGGTTTTTGATTTGCTTCCCTAAATCAGTCACTTCCCCTGGCTTTAAATCTTCTTTGCTGGTGCTTGACACTGTGAATTGAATCTCCTTGAAACAGTAGTCCTCCCTTGATGAAGACAATTTTTAAGCAGGGTTAGAGTCTGCCAGCAAAAGCAGCTGATAATTGGATATTGATGCAAATGGTAGAAGAGAGGGGGCAGACAAATAGGTATAAAGAAGTACTAGGAACTGTACTTGGGAGAAAAAAGCAACATTTAAAATAACCTGAAGCCATTCTGTATTTGCCTAAATCTAAATAACCAGCACTGTGTTTCCACATTACTTGTGCCAGCTGCATGAGTTGTTGAGTGAAAAACCTGAATCTGATTTTATAGCGAGCTGCAGCGGACAAAGTGGAAGCCACTGCCCATAACTGTGTAAGTGGGAGCACAGGATTAGTCTTAGAACTCCAGTTCCCTTTCCGGCCACCTTCCCAGTCTCACTATGGGCAGCCTGCTCCAAATGTCAGGTCTTGCAGCAAGCCATCAGGAAGCCAGGTGTGTTACAGCACAGGTTTGAGCAATCTGAGCCATGGTTCACTGAAACCCTACACCTCTTGGACCAGTTCTGTTCTCACACCATGTGAATTTAGAGCTCCAGTTTCAAACAGTGAGCCAGCAGTGGGATCTGTGTTTCTAGGCCAGTGGCTAGAAATTACTGCATTCCTACAAGAAGTAATAATAAAATGGCTAAAACAAGCCAACACAGTTAACAGGAGACCAATCCATGAAGCCTCTGTTGCTCCTGTTTGTTGTAGCTGGGCAGCCACAGTCAGCTGCATAGCTGTGTGTATGCAGAGCATTTATTTACCTATTTTCAGCCAATTAGCTGAAATCTGATAAAGCATGGAGAGACATTATGGGCACACTAAACTTCTGACATGCTAAATGAGCTCGACTTCTCCACCTAGAAGTATATATTTCACAGTTCTGCCAAACGTCTACAAACAGCATTTCTTGCTTTTCCGCGAAAAGCTTTCAGACTTAGCAAAAATTTTACTCTTCCCCCATCCTCTCCTCCTCAATTCCATGTTGCAACTAGTTTATAGCTGGGCTATAATGGCACAGGTTTTGATGTTCAGAGGGGACTGAGTTTTCATCTGCCCATTGACTATACTGAGCAAAAGCCCTTCCCAATTGAATGCTGACGTGGGGACACCAGAGAGAGAATGAGTAAGATACAGCATTTGTCTTCACTCCTACGCATGGCGTAAACATGAGACAAGCACAATTGTTCACAGTCATTGTGATATGAACGGCCTGCTAAAATAACAACTGCAACAAAGAAAGCTTCCTAGAAGCCGTGGGACAGAATGAAAAAAAATCACTATTAAAATGTGAAGTCTACCTTGTCCCTGGTCTGTCCCCATCACCTATGGCCTGCAGCTCTGCCTCTGTGCCTGCATTTCGAGTGTGCCAACCCCCTTGGCTTCAAGGCGCTGTGACACAATGAAGAAAGTGCAGCAAGACTTGGGGAATAAAAAGGCTTGTGCAAGCTGGCTAGAATATAAAGTAGGTCTTAAATGGGGCATAGGCCTGTGCTTTGTCTTCAAGGCTAGTTGCTCAGGGCTGCAATCTTGCAAGCAGACCCAAGCACGTACGCCCGGGTGCCAGGACAGAGCCCTCCAGAAGTCAGCAGCACCCTGTGGGAGGGAGAAGGTAGGACTTCCAAACCAGCTCTGCTAAGTTTTTCAGCCCTGACGGGCTGCAAGGGACAACAGAGACCATTACCCATCCATAGTTTACCTGCAGTCAATACGGGAAATAGTCCTTCACTGGCAATGGGGATTTGATGACCATATAGTCCTTCCACCTTTCATGTTTTAATTCTGCAGTTCAGGCTGGCTTTGAAATACAACCAGGAATATAATTTCTGTGACTTGTCTGCCTGTATTATAAATCTGTTACACTGCTATGGCAGGATTAACAAGGCATAAATGCAATACACTGACCACTACACAGATAATATAATTTCTGCCATTCAGTTGTCATAAGAGCCTAACTACGCACAGCAGTTAGAGGGCAGCTAATTTATTGTTTTATTCTAAATCAACACTGACCTCTTAATACAGGAGTTACAAACGTAGAGATCAAACTTCCAGCATTAATGGATAAATAGAAGATGGAAAAAAACTTGCTTCTCTCCGAGGTCTAAAATAAGAGAAGACAATATCAACGTCATGGCTAACACACAGCATTGGGCTTGCAAATTGAACACTATCAATTCCCTTGTTAGGAAGGCTGAGTTAATATTGACACGAAGTGCATAAAATGTTAAGCAAACAAGCTTGTGTTCAGGTGATGGTAAATGCTCACACAAATCAGCTCACATTACTTGAGAAGCGCTTTGGGGCTTTTTGGCATTTCACAGGAAGAGCCACTGCTTTGAGAGTGTTGTGAGATGGCAAGGAAGAGAGAGCATTTACTTATTCAGAACAAGTAGCATGATTCAGTTCCTTTGTCACCTAATTCAATACAATTTGGCATGGTTTGACAAGCTCATAATTTCTTCCCATGTCTGAGCTCTTTATTTTTGTTCTCTTCTTCTCTCCTGTGTAGAAACAGAAAAAGAAACCTGTATATTTTAAGGAGCTGGTAATTACAGCATAGATGAAAGAGTGCCAGCAAATGAAAAGTATCCATCAGACATGAGATTACCAAACTAAGGACAGTCAACCTCAAACTAAAAGGGTAAATTAAATCTAGGGGAGCAAATTCAAGAGCCTGATGAAGGGGTGAACTCCAAGCAAAAGAGTTCAGACTTTAACTTATGTTGTAACATATTACAGTTCATACAGTCCAAGGATTCCTGTTGACATGCTTTCTTCCTGCATTATTCCTAATTTGGAAGGAATCAAGAACTTGATGCAGAGTTGGGCCCTTCTTGCAGGAGTAATATGTGAGGGTATTCAACTGAGGCCAGTCTCTCCTTTCTTGTGGGAGAGACAGACATGCAAAGTCTCATGCATATAACAGTGTTAGATGCCAGTAGTGGAGAAACAAGGGCAGAGTACCTGACCTAACAAATGCTCCTCTCTATCACCAGCTCTGTGACATCTGAGTCAGTAAAGGTAGTGGGGAAAATTGCTTCAGACATGGCATGGTGCCTGGCAGAGAGCTCCTTAAGGCACATTGAACCACATCTCTATGACCTGAGCATCATTTGAATGCGAAGCTTTAACTTAGCTGAGCATGAGGAACTCCTCAGGGACCTTTTTCTGTCTCCTTTCCCTCTAATATGTCCTGCTTCCTTTTGCTCCCTGAGACAACACTATTCACAAGGCTAGAAAACTGGAGAAAATGTGAAGAATTGTAGGCAGTTGAAAGAGGATAGCTCTTACGTAATGAATCCTGGGATCCGAAAACATAACAAAACTTCTGTAACTGATGGTGCAGACAACAGGAAATATTGTTACTTTGTATGGCAAGAAGTCCCTTATCACAAGGGTTCACTGCAGGAAAGGTGGGGAGGTGGAAGGACATGGAAAGGCTTTTCTTTATGTTCCCTTGTAAAGCAGGTAGTGGGAAGGTGAGGGTGAGGGCCCCATCACCTCCCACTGCCACGCGCCAAGGAGTCTGGAGGTCTGCTTACTTGGATTAAGGGCTTTCTATCTTGACCCAGCACAGTTATAAAGACCCCATCAACAAATTTTCCACAGTTTTATTTCCTAGAGTGTTTGAGGCTATCTAGTTCATACATTACTCGCAAATTATTTATCCTGGACTAAAGACTTTGAAAGCCTTATAAAAATCGTCTCTGTGGTTAACAGAAAACAGCAACTCCATTTCTGTCCTTAACAGTGGTTTTGATTACCTGAGACTTTCTACTGCTAAACTAGTAAAAGCATATTTTCTTTTTCATTCTACCTTCATGACTGGATATTTGTCATCATGAGGAAATCTAGAGAAATGAGCAGCCTCAGCAATCTTTCCCACTCCTGCAGTAGCCTTGCCATAGCTTGTCAAGGGTGGTGCAGTGGAGTCCTCACAGTCCTGCTCTCTTCTAGTCAAATTCTCATGCCATGTGTCTAACTCTATATCTGAGGAACTCAGAATTTCTGAGAGCTGTAATAAACTCAAGCATGCAGCTCTTGACATGGTAAAGTCTAGAGCAACAATTACCAAAAAGAATGTGGTGGTAACAGAAGAGGATAGTGATGCATAAAGAATTTGGAGCATCTTATTTCACACAATGTAAAAAAAAAATGGTCACAGAAAGGCTACAAAAATAATGACCCAGAAGCTTGCAAATTACACTGATTGAAAAAAAAAAATTCCTTCCCTATTGTCTTAATCTTTGGGGCAGATGAACATTAACAACATGATTTGGATTAGCTAATTTAGAGAAAATGTACCATACATGGTAATCCTGATCTGCTTGGCAATCAGAAAATAAAGAAACCAAGAGAAAGCTATTTAGTACCTTAAACACCATACTGCATTGTTTGAAAGCAGCTTTGGTCCCTAATTAATATGCAGAGCAGCTCCACATTCACATAACATATCGTAAATATAATTTTGTTCAGGCATTTTTAACTTGGACTCCTAATCCCATAGACAAAGATGTCTGGAAATCTCCTGTAGATAAATCTACTTTCCCTATCTGACCTCCTGCCAAATCACTCTCCATCACTGTTTGTAGCAGTACTGTTCTCAAAGTGGCAGATCCAAGACTATTATGCTTATAAAGTACTTAAAAGAGGATCAGACTGATGTTGCACATTTACCTCAAAACATAAAGTTGTCTCAGGGGCAATTTATTGTTTTATACACAAAACTACCTCATCCTTAGCTTTCACATCGAACAACTAAGCCTGTGCACTTTAAAACTCAGCTGAAGTTTATTCCTGAAAACTAAGGGAGAATCAAATGCTTCATTTAATAGCAAATTTTCAAAACTTATTTTATCCTACCTGGAGTGTAAGAAGAAAAACATAAGTCCCCTCAAACACCACTCCAGAGGGAAGAAATATTGTGGTGGCCTCGAACCTTTTATTTCTTACAAATTCTCATTCCAATTCTGAAGACTTAAACTTCCTATCACATAGCATAAAACATTTGTTTCTTCTGAAAGGCCAAGTCATTTCAAAATGGTAAAATAGAAAACTTTTTATTCTGAAAAGAATGAATAGACCAGAACACATTGTCCTTATCAGAATGCTTTTTACAGTTTTCTTTCTCTAAATTAGTTTTTCTTGAAGGTGGCATACAGGTGAATGCTTGAGACTTAGTATTTGATAAATTTGTTGGAGAGATGTAGTCTGAATGCTGGAGAACGGGTACAGGCCCACGCAACCATGGGCAATTCAGGTTTTTTCTCTGTAACAGCTGTGGTTGCAAGTTTGGGATAATAATATGTAAATGCCTGACTGGGGTGCTGAGATTCATTAGCTGAAGTCTATAAAACACTCTGAAGATAAGTGGTACATATTATCATACTGTAATTAGGTGGTAATTGAAAGATGCTGGATAAACATTATTAATTATTAATATTCATAGAAGTAGCACTTCTGTAAATGCTGCTCTAACACCAGTTACAATCCTTTTGGATCCAACTGACAGCGCAGGATGGTCATGCCTGCAAAAGGTTACGCTTTGGACAAATGACCACGAAACATCCCATGGTCTGTTACTCCTTAGTAACCATAATCTTCACTACTTCAGCATCATATAGTTCATGTGCACAAAGCACAAGTCTTCACGAAGTTTTAAATCTAGTCTATATTATTAGTTCATTAAATGCTGACTGCATACTGGGGTATTGCAAAAGACAAAGAAAAAACTGCTCTATGGGGCTCCTTGTACAAGGATAAGGGGGCAATTCTTGTCCAACTCTACCAGTGCCTTTCCTGACAGACTATTAATCTAACGTCCTTCTTCAATGAAGGACTGGAATTGCATTGAAGAGAATTTCCATCTTCCAAAGGTCCTAATATCTTCCAGTATTTCTCTAGAACTACTTCTGGAACAATTTTTTGTACTGTCACTCCTAAATAATCCTCCTTGAATATAATCCTACTCATCACAGACCCCAACACTTATTTTCTTTTTTGTAGCAGTGGCCTTCTACATATTTGAGGACTTATGCCACGCACAGAACTTGATTTGAATACTGTCATTGAGAAAATGGAAAATTCTATTTGTGTTTTAGGTCAACATAAATCTGTTTAGTTTCAGGTCAATTTTAAAATTTAGCATTTTGCCTGAGGATTAGCACTTCCTGACCTGCTTTGCTTCTTTAAGCGCTACCTTATCCCTGGTTGAGCCCCTGTGCTGCATAATGGGAGTTTGAGATTACTGCAGATGAGGGGCTAAGCACTTATGACAGAGAATGAGGACATGAAGCAACTGGACTACAATTCACAGGATACAAAGCACAAGCAGAGCTAAACAGAAACATTTCCATAACTCTTCAGAACTTTGCATTCTGGAATACCCAGAAAACATTCTGGCACTACTTTCAAAAGACTGGAATTTCCTACAGTTCTTTCTGAACAATGTCTAAGGAACAGCTTATGATTTGAGGAAAAATTCCCACAGAAGCACAGGCTGGTGATAAAATTTTTTTCTCCCCTTTGCTGTATTCCATTGCAGTGCATTATAATCACCCCTATTAAGCTGGTTCAGAAATGGCTACTGTTCCATGATATACGAGACAGGATTTTCTACCTACTCTGATGTCCAATTAACATTTAGATGATTTCATGCAATTATGACTTATCCTTTCCAATATCAGTCCTGTTCTGCTGTCATTTTCCTTTCCTGAAGCATCCAGACACTCTCAAGTCTTATGCAAATCATCCTTCCTCAAATCTTACTACATCTTTTCCAGCAAACTGGCCCTTATTCTTCTAGCACAACAGGATTTGATCACAAAAACATCCTCATAAAGTAAGCAGACACTGCAGATTTTAAGAAATAAAAGAAATCTTACATGTTCCTCTTCAAACTGGTCCCCTCCAAATGCAGAGACACAGGGCTTGATACCTCCTGTTCCAAGGGCGATCAAAAACAGACCAACCATAGACAGGACCCTTCATGCAAGAAAAAAAAATATCACCATTGCAAAACCTTTCCAGTGAGAGCATTTTAAGTGTCAGCCCACCATGATTCCTCTGATAACATTGCTTTTTGCACATGGGTAGTGATGATAAGCCATCTAAGTGTGAAAAACAAATTAACTATCCTAATTTCTGCATTCAGTAGCAGTCAATTAACCAAACTGTTTTTGTCAGTTTCTTGTTGTTCTGAGGCCCTATGGACATACAGGAGATCAAAGATGTGTGGGATTATTTTTCACTCATAGGACAACAAAAGATTTCACAGATCAATCGAGAAAAAGAAAAAAAAATGCGGGGGGAGGGAAAGTGCCTTTTCCTGTAGCCTTCCAGCCTGGGTAAGTGCAGACAAACTGTTTGAAACAGGCTCATTCCTGGCTGTTTTCTACTTCCCAGTGGTCTTCAAAATACCATTGTTGGCCTAGCAGATTATGTCTGCAGGGAACAAGAGTGTCAGGACTGGCCACATCTGGGACAAAAGAAAACTGTTCTGTAAACTACATGCGCTCTTGCCTGCATGTACTTTTTTTTTTTAGAGCTGTGACCACACAGGCAAAAACAGCTTGGTGGTTTCAGAGACACTACTCTGACAAGCCTACCAGTTCAGAATCTAGAGGGCAAGACGGGTTGTACCCAGTGGAAGACACAGACCCTTCTGTCATCAGAAAATGCATTTTGGTTTTGTGTTCCCATGCACACCAGCGAACCTTGCTGAGCTGAACAGCTATGCTGATGAAATGAGAGAGGAATGAGCCCAGTGCAGGCAGCTGGATGGAGGAGACCAGACTTCAATAGCATGGTATAGCAGAGGGGAGGCGATCACAGGTGCCTGTGATAAAGGGTTTAGAATCTCTGTGGAGATTTCCAACTCCATCTAGTGTGTTCACACACTAGATCCACCCTTCTGCTCTTACTCAGAACATCCCTAGCCCTTCCCTGATGAAAGTAATCCACGCACAGCCCCCAGACTGCTGGCCTGATGGAGGTTAAACATAGTCCTGAGTAAACCAACTACCATTGCAACCTGCTACAGCACTGTGGCTTCAACAGCTACTTACACATGAACCGCCTGGTTGCCCAGGGATGGAATGGCACCGACTGACTTTATCAGATGGCCAACAACATACACAATGGAGAGGTAGATGATCGTCCTGTGAGGAAAGCAAACAGCAATGACTGAAGGTGCCAGGTGATGTACAATCCAAAACAGAGTGTTCCCGTGCATCCTGATACAGCAGCTCTACTTGGCAGACACACAAGGAACTGGTTTGTTCCACCACTGGTACAGTAGGCAGCTATAATTCCTCTGTGCCAACTCTGAGTGCACTAGAAGAAACAGATAGGCAAATGGGTTCAGATTAAGGAGGGATAGCCCCTGCTTTGTTTGCAGACATTACTGAGCAGAATAAACTTAAAGTGTTTCAGTCTTGTCACGCATGGAAGGCTGCAAAGAGGAACATACTGTTCCAGTCCAACTCAGTTTCCAGATTACTAATAATTGGCATTTTATAGCATGTGCCTAAATGAATCCCTTGACTGGAAGGCATCCCTAGGGACAGTCAACCCACCTAACCAACACATCTGAATTAGGAGAGTGGTTTCCCCACTGTAAGTTTGTTTTAGATCCCAAGTACCTCTGAAGGACTGAGCTCATCTATCTGCCTCCCATGTGTTGGTGAGGGAGAAGAAGAAATTGGAGTAGGACAATCAAGCTCTTGAGTGTATTATATTTCTTCATCACCTTCAGGATTAAGAGATATCTATGTATTTATGTGTAGATGACATATAGAGGGAATGAAAGGACTTGTTAGGACAGAGACAATAGAAGAAGTCCATTGAGCTTTGAGCATGGAAATGGTCCCCGATGCATTCAAACCCTGATTGTAACAGCTAATTTAGAGCCACATCAGAACATTCCTAAAAGCCCCTCTAAACTGTTATCCTGTCCTTGGTATTAGCCGAGGTCCAGCTACTATAGCAAAAGCCACCTCCTATTAAACTATAGGGATTACTCCAGGGAAAGTCTCTTGCCTAACACACCAAAGTCTGTGTAAGGATCTACCTTCTCACAACATCATGCTGCACAATAGATATCCCCAAATACCAATGAACATTGCTAGGTGACCTTAAATAATGAAGTTAATAAACCCTCACTGTTATTTTTTTCACTGAAAGCAGTAAGAGAACTACTGAAATGGGGAACAGAGAAAAGAAAGAACATGGATACCTCCTTAAGAACTTTCTTCTGGAAAGGCATATGGCAGTTGTTTATTTCCTGCTGAGACTCTTCTGCCAGATGTGTGTAGTCCTAGAGAGAAGGGTTCGGCTGCATTTTATCACCCCGACAGCCAAGACTCCTCAGACAATGAACAAACAGTGCCAAGCAAAGAAAGTCCTATATCCAGCAGCTCACCACCACTGTGGGGCAGATGTTGGCTCCACAAATTATCATCAGAAGGGAAGACTGCTTAAGGACTCTTACTCAGGAAGAGTTTACCTGCTTATGTTCTCATGTAGATGATTTGAGTGAACCCAGGTTTTTCAAGCATAAAAATGGCTGTACTCATACATTCCCTATGCTGTGAAAAGCCTAAGTAAGTACACAATAGTTAGTGTCATTTCAATAGCTAATGTCATTTCATCTGAAACTGCAAGATCTAGATGATGACACCAGTTCCTCAATATCTTTGAATCCTTCCCAGAAGCAGACCTTGGCAAACTGAGGGTTAATCACCTTACACATCACCTTCCTGAACAGTGTAGGGAAGGGCAGTGGAGGAAAAGCCTATTTGTTGCAATTAATTTGTTCCAGCTTTGTTGCCCGTTGGCCCTTGGGTGTAAGAGGAGCAGGGAACAGCATGAGCAGACAAATCAGCTGTCAACAGAGGGGAGCTGACCTTCCCAAGTGTGTCTTTGCTGCACTCTGAGCCAGCTCAAAACCGGGAGCACACACAGCACTGCCCTTGCACAGGCTGCACGGTGTCGATGCATGCTGACTGAATTAGAAAGGTGTCTTCACTTACTTGTATTTGCCCAGCCATGAGTCTGCCATGATGGCGCCGATGACAGGTGTGAAATAACATAGCGCAGAGAAGGCATGGTACACAGCGGTGGAGAGATTCTCATCCCAGTGGAAGAAGCTCAAGAAATACAGTGTCAGGACAGCTAAAAGGAAACAAGCAAATCACATCAGATAATTAATGTGTATCTCTGCAGGTAAGCAGAATCATGATGGCAAGGCAACCACTGACTTGCCTAGCAATTATGAGCACTGCTGTGGAAAGATTTGTGCTTTCAGACCTGTTCCTCATAATCTCTGACACAGGAAAAGCTACAATGAGATGTATGAGTATCACGCATTCTTTGTTCATAAACATTTATGCTTACCTGAAAAATATATATTCTCTAGCTTATCTTGCTGTAACCTTAGTTTGTTTATGCACATTTTCTATTTGCAGATTAGGTGCCTGTAAGATTCAATTCCCAAACACACAGATTGCACACAGCTATGAAAGATATAACACACTAGAAAACCAGGTCTGATATAGAGAGTTATATAAAAATTTAGACTGGAAGGTACATTTGAAGGCCTCTAAGTCCCAACTTCTGGTCAGAGCAGATAGAGCAACAATGTCAGGGTACACTGTTCATACCTGCATTCCAAAATACCAATTTACTTTGAAACACAGCTGAGACCATATAGCACAGCCCCGGAAAACCAGTGTGTATAGGAACCCTAGGATGGGAAAGTCACTTCCCAGACACAGGCCACATACCTCGCATGCCATAGTAGGAGAAGCGCTCGCAGAACTCATTCACCACAATGAAGGCAATGCTCAGAGGGTAGTTGGAGCCACAGAGTTTCTGTGGGAGACAAACAAGAACATATTGGCTCTGTGAAAGTCTTTACCCCAGCAACATATCACCACAGCACCTGGATGGTGGAGAAGAGTCCAGTCCAAAAACCAGGTACCAATTGCTGCTTGACTGGACTGTGAGTTGGACTCAAGAGAAAGAGTGGACCTCACACCACTCTTGCTTTGATTAAGGCTCCCCAGTGAATCAGCCTGGCTGACACGGGCCCCGTAAGGACCGCCATGGGGATTTGGGGGGCTGTCAGCAGCCACCATGCTTTTAGCTCCAGGAACTCCACTGGAAGGGTGCTACCACCTCCCTACTGCAATGCAAAAAGTCACTGAGACGAAAAAACACCTTTGAATGCCTTTTCTTCTGCACTTCATATAAAGCTACCACCCTGCCCCAAAACTGCTCCCTCTTCTAGCACCAGATCTTGCCTCAGAAGCTGGGAGACTCCAGGGATCTCCTGTCTGCTTCTGTGTGTGAAGCTGCTCCCTCCCACGTGACAACTGCCCTCAATCTCTGTACCTCACTTGCACCAAACTGTGCCATCACATTCACTGAAGCAAAACATCAGCCCTGTGTCCAGCATTCCCTCAGGCATGGCATCCATTTCATATTCCAAGATTGCTGGCATAGTTATAGATAATTCAATTTATTAATCAAAACCAAAAAAAAAACAGCAATGGGACTGTCAAACCTGTCTGAGCATGGACACTCTCTTGCTGAACCTGACTTTACTCCAGCTAAAATCAGCAGTTCCCAAGTGAAATACAAGGCATTAAACAGACGAGTCTTGGCATGACCTTGTGTGGGCCCCTGTCTCTCTTGCTACCCCACAGCGGTCTGAGCTAAGCAGGTTCCAGCTTCCAGCTGCTTAGTAGCTCCACTGCTTCACAACAGGAAAGCAGGTTTTCACAGTACTGCCCAGCCTCTGCCAATCAGTGGGAGAGAGGGGCTGGCCATGCTTTTGGTGAGGGACTGGGGGGAGTGTGATGTTAACAGCTGCACTTATATCTATGGTTTTAAACAGCCATGGTATGGGCCAGTGAAGTGAGATGAACTCTTCACATGCATTTCTGCGCCTCGTGTCGGAAATAATGAATTCCTGTACTTCTTCCCAGAGTACCAAATGCAAATACAGGTACCAAAATAGATGTGTGTATTCAGGTTTATTTCACCATCAAGAGATCTAAGCATATTTGGATTCCCAAAGCAACAGCACCAACTTTAGAAGAGTCTATCTTAATTATGCTGTCTTGCTCAACATTATAAAAGAGCAGCAAAAGAGAATGATTGTCAAAAAAAAATCCCAAAACCAAATTGTAACTTCCCCCATCCCACTTTCCATTACTTAACCAAGCATCTCTAAAGGTAAATATTTCTGTCCCTCTTTTATATATATACACATATATTCTCTCACTATTTATGGGCTGCCTTTTTAATAAAAAACCCTTGGCCTGTTTGCTTTACTGGAGTAAATACATAATTATCCATTCATTTATTATTTACTCTGAAACCATCATGCTCAGCATATGGCTTGTAAGAAAGAGAGGGCTCCCTTGAAAACAGCACTGGGGCCTCCTGCTTTTAGACTAGCCTAAAACCGGTGGCATACATAAGCTGTTGATGCACAAACACACAAACATAAGCACACACAGAATACCTTTCTACAACAGGTTTTTCATAATAAAAGAAGAAAAGCCATAAGAGGCAAATTGTGTTTCCTGTGGGTGCTGGGAGGCATTTTCTGAACTCTGAAGTAAAATTGTACAACAGGGATTTTTTTTTCTTCCACTCTCTCACACATTTCATAACATTTGGTGGAGATGCAGAACGTGACTGTTCAAACCCAGCTGTCAGGAGCGCTGCTGCCTGAACTCACCCTCCACACCCAGTGCACAAGCCTCGGTGGATTTAGCTGCAGCGGTTTAAGGTGCAGTGACTCATTTCAGCCACTCCTGCTCTGGGACGGGCACCTCCTACAGGTGAGTAGAGGCAAGAAGGGAAAGGAGAGCAGAGGGCGGTGACTTCCCAGCTAAACCTCCCCGAGCGCCTGAGCCGGGACCCTGAGTAAGTGCTTACAAACACAGAACAACGCCTTACAAGCGGGGGTACTTCCATCTGGCTTGTATGACATGAGATGGTATCAGCACTTGCAGAAACCCTCATGTGTTCTCTCCGCTGTATCACTGACCTGCCTGTGGCCTGCCTGGACATCCAAAAGTGGGAAGCTTTCATCCATGCGGAGAGCCAGGTGCGGTTTGCTCGCTTTCGCGGAGGAGAACCTTGCTCAGCAGAGAGCCCCAGCAAAAGCAAAGAGGTTAAGCCTGGATTCATGAACACACAGATAGTCTTGCAGTGCTTAGCTACCACAGCAAGCCTGGGATATGCAGGATTATGGACCTCTTAAAGATACTGTGGAAGTTGATAGTCTGTGTCTTTGGAAAAAAGATAGTTCGTTTAAAGAGCCTGCTACAGGAGACGTTTGTTTTCACCTCTCCTTCTTGCTGTCTAGCTGCAAAATGGAATAAAGATTAATATTTCCAAGGAGCTCTGGATATCCAATAGTTAATGTCTGCACAGTACTTATAACTGTGAGTTAAACAGTTGGCTTGCTAATGACATGACTGTGAGTTTTAAGACCAAGTATTACATATTATCCTGCAACTCAAAGCAGCTACAATACAAGCCAAGTTCCCCCTGAATACAATGCAGTGAATAGTTTTTAGGGGTCAAGCACTCAACGAGAATTAGACTGAAAACCTGCACAAACATCAAACCTGCAAGGCAGCAATATATATTCACCTGAGTCAGGCTTTAAATCAGAGCCAAAGATCTAAACTCAAGGCTCTGGCACTACAGTAGGGCTCTAACACTCAGCACTGGCCTGTCCTCAGTTCCTGTCCTTCCTTCTGCTTTGCAACATCTGGGGACCCTTCCCTGGTGGGTTTCATCAAACCAAGCCAATGCAGGGGCCAGCTCTCTCTGTCCCACGCACAACATCCCCCTCCACTTCAGAGAAGTAAGTCCTTTCCCACAAGAAAAGTAGTGTTCAGGAAAAAGGCAGCAATCGAAACCTTACCCTTTTTCCCAAACATTCAGATAGTTTGTGTTTCCCCTTTAAGCTGCACTTTCTTAACTTAATCAGGTTAGTGGAAGGATTTTTCCCTTGAGTTGTTAATGCTTATTTCAATGCTCTGCAAGAAAGGGTGTTTGTCTCTAGCCAGAGCACAACAGAGGAGAGAACAGAGAGATCTTGCAATGTTTAGAGCAATCTGAGCAGAAAGCAAAGCAAAGGAAACCAGCAGTAACACTCACCGGGGATTTTTTCCGAAGAGGGAAATCTCCTTTGGGGGGATCATCTCCTGCAGACATAAAATTGAACAAAGTTTCCTTGGATTCATTTCTCTGAAAAGCGTTCATCTCCCCTCTCGCCTTGTCTCCCACCATGCTATGTGGCTGTGGTGAGTTGACTGGGAAGATTTCCAACCTCAGGCATGAAGTTTGATTCAGTTTGAGTTAACCCTAATTGAGCACATTTGTGCAGCCAGGGCAGAAAGGGGAGGGAGATGCTACCCGGAAAGACAACTGCAGAGTTCAAGAAGAGTCAGGGAACACAGCCTAAATCATTCACAGGTTGGGGCTGTCAGCACTTTATGGCACAGACCTCCCTGTGGTTTGGCATGCCCCCAGCCGTGGTACGTGCACCATGCCAGCACGGCACTGTAGGCTGCACAGATGTGAGCTGAATAAAAATTCCAGGTCCCAGACACACCTACAGCCTGTGGATTTAGGAGCAGAGTGTGTATCTCCCTCCCGATGTGGTAATGACAGGTTTACTCTGCAGGGATCTCATTCCACTGAAAAGCCACACATTTCAAGTTATAAACTACTAAAATGCTCATCACATCAAACCCCTGGACACTGGATGTCATGGATGCCTGCACTGTGTTAAATCATTTCTTTGCTATCTCAGGAGTGAAGTGACCCAGGGTTCATTCCCACACCAATTCCCTGGAATGACCTTGTCTTTTCCCATGGGACAGTTTAATCAAGGGGGCACAGCCAGCACTCAGAAGCAGCCCCAAACCCTGTCTCTACTTTCTATTATTCAAAAGAACACCCCAGGACTCATTAAGAGGCAAATGCAGCCTATCTGTGCTGGGAGTCCCAGAATTCCCCCTGCAGCTATGTGGGCTCAGCTCCCTGCAGGTACCCTGATGTCCTTCCTTCCATGCCCTTCCCACAGGAACAGTGGAGCCCTTCATCAGTATTCTTCCAGTGCCAGTTGCAATTACAGAGCAAAATTCACAACCTTCCCATAAACTATCCTCAGTGGTTGTGTCTCTGCAGTATCCTCAGCACAGTGCAGAGTTTTTTTCTCCCTCTTACACTTGGCTTCTTTAAAAGGCGAATGTTCAAAGAATTTTTCCAAATATTTCCCCCTTATCTTATCAGCAAAGCACAGACCACACCCAGAATCCATAACTGGTACAAGGAGGCTCCATAAACTCATCCTCAGCTCCAGCATCGACTTGCTGATAGTGTTTGGGTATCACAAGAACCAGGTTTGCAGTTGACAAACGAGGAAACAGGCCTTTACTCACACCAGAGATCCTTAATCTGGCTTCAGTTATTGCCAACAAGACATAGAGAACATTTAGACAAGGGAATCAGATGTGACAGAGTGCACAGAGAAAGCATAATTACTCTCCACATTCCCTTATATGCTCTGCTATTGCTTTCTCTGAAAATCCCCAGGGATCCTGTTCATTGGGCAACTAAACAGGGCAGCTAAACATGAAACCCAAACTACAGATGGGGCCAGGAAGGTCTACCCATTTCTTACTCCTTTATTCTTCTACAGCAGCGGCAAAGCAACAGTTTGATACCTCCACTATACTGCCACAGACCAGCTCATCTTCAGCCTTCCTGGGGATCTAACACCCACACAGCCTTTTCACTGGGTCCAGCCTCCAGTGAGCTCGGGTTTGTCAAGCCCATTTCACAGGCAAGAGTGACTCAAAAGCACACCCAGCGTTGGGGGCAGTGCAAGGAGCAGGACTTGTGCACATTGGTCCTGTCTCCTGCACAGCAGGGTAGCACATACTCTTGTGTCCTGCAAGTCTGACCCTGTGCTGCTAGAGACAGCAGGAGTATTTCTGATGGTGGCATCTCTTACTGCCCTAAGTATCTCTGTACAACTCTGAGTAGAAACCTGTTGTATTCTGCCATACACAGGCAAGCAGAGCAAACACAGCAGCAGAGTTATTAAAGGAGTAATACAAAAGGAAGACAGAAAAGGTTTCACTGTCTCTTGCACAGGGCTCCCACACTGCTGCAATGTGATGCCTTAATATTTTCAGCCTTCTGCAGCTATATTTCCTCTGTGTGTATACAGCCCTGTGTGTCACATAAGCTAAATGATTATTTTTTTTAATAGTAGCATGAAAAACTCTATCAGTCAGTAGGATTAACATACTACTTGTCTAATACACTGCAGAGCTTTTTAGGTCATTAGCTGCCAGAAGGTCTTCACAGATAGAAAAGGGAGAAAAGGAATTCAAATGTCTGGCAATAAATGGTAACTTGTAGCAAACAGCAAAAAATGAGTTAAGGAGAATAACTTTGCAAGCACATGAGATACAGATACAGAATAGCACTTGATAGAAGGAGACCTGTGAGGCTGGGCTGAAAATCAGGAAGGAATTGTACCACAAATGGAAATAAGGTGGCATTTCTGAAGACAAGTATAAACAAACGGATCAAACACGGAGCGGTGGAGGCTGCAAAGCCAAGGCACAAAATGAATTACAGCTAGCAGGGGGACACAAAAGGCAATAAGAAAAGGTGTTAGAAATGCTGTCAATACTGGAGAAAGAGGAAAGAAAATGAAAGGCTGTTATTTAAACCAGAAAACAAGCAAACAAAAGCTCATCCACAGAAGCCAGAAAAGTTGTTTGCTGTCCTTTTGGTTTTTTTCCACTAAAAAAAGTAAATTGCAACAAGATGCCCAACACCATTAAAATGAACCAATAGGAATATGGATGAAACAAGACAGAACCTGCTTAAATAATATTTGGATACCTCAAATGTACCCAGATCATTAGAGCCTGATGAAATTCACCTTCAAGTGCTGAATATGATACACTCAGGCACTTCCCATGTGGGGGGCAGAAGCACGACAAGCATCACCACTGCCTTTAAAAAGGCAGGTTAGGACAACCCAGGTGTGTTCCTCCATAGCCAGAGGGATACTTGATCAGATAATCCCTTGTAAGCACCAAAAGGAGAATAAGGATTACAAAACAGCCATTTCAGGTTGGAAAAAATGCTCTCAAACCAGACTGTTTCTTTCTTTGGTGACAGGGTAAGTGGCATAACAGCTAGAGCATCTCTGTATGTGATATATCCTAACTCTAGTATCTCCAGTGTCTCACAAGGAAATAAAGCCCAGGTGAAATGCCCATATAGTGGACAACTGGGAAATCTCTCTCAGAGTAGCTATCAATGATTTTCCATCAGACTAGGAAAGCACAAAACATGCAGGTCCTCAGCTTTTCCATGAGCAAAGAGAACACCAGCACAGCCAGTGTGCTGCTCTCCTTTGTGTCCGAAACCAGGATGGAGAAGCATAGGTGAGAACAGGGTATGAATTCAAACTGGTGTTGCAAAATGGGAGAAACCATTTTGCAGCTCTGGAATGAAAAATATGACATTTGGGGAAGAAGACTACCAAACACTACTCCTATCCACTGACAGGAAAAACAGCCACAGGGACCAACTGTTCTCCATTTTTATCAAGGATGAGGGAAATAACTGACTTTATTTTCAGTAAAGACGATTTGGGCTCCTTTTTCCAATTTCCGTATCAGCGAGGACAGATAAGCACTGGAACAGAGATGGTGTGGCTGGAGCTGCAGGATTCAGGCAACCCATGATTTCCGTTATATAAGAATGTATTAGGGACTGGATAAATATCAGGTCCTGTCCCAGAGCAGGCAGATGGATGAGGTGTCCTCCTGAGTTTCTGTGAAAATCTTGTGCCAAACAACTTCACTTGGTAAGCACGAAAGCCAAGACTGCTTTCTGTATAATTTCCTCTTTTCTAAGTTATCCTTTATGCAAGTGGGGAGTCTGCAGGATGATTCATGCTTAAATGTAATATTGAGCTACCAGATGCCTCGTATAGCCAGAAATTCCCATGAATAGATTTTGCTATGACTTTGAGTTCATAATTTAATTTTTTCTGGTTCCCAAATCCTCAGGAAGAAAATCTGCATTTTCCCATTGCATTTACAAACCCCATGTTCTCACTGCTCCCTGCTGCAGTACTGCGCAACTTAAGCTGTTTATACTCAACTAATCTCTTCATTTTTACCTGCATTCATCTTGTGGTACAATCCCTTCCTAATTTTCAGCTCAGCCACACTCATCTCTTAATAATGAGTCTTATTTTTAATTCATAGACATTGGCCATACTTTTATAGCCCTTTTACCATATATGCATTTCTCTCCTCTGTCTTTATTTTCGAGATAAGGTTTTAAGAAGCCAGAAGAATGTGCGCCAGCAACACTTAGGGCTTAATGACCAGACCCTGGAAGGACATGATAACCTCTCCAGGTCTCATCTGGCTTATTTTCTCCAATTCTTTGATCACAAGAAAGAGCAGGGCTTAACTGATTTACACAGATCAAGACTGGTTTCCATTGCCTGCAGACTTCTCCCAAACTTCAAAGTAATTTAAGAAAACGATTTATAAAATCATTTGAACAACCAGGAAAATATGCCAGGGGCCTTCAAACCCACATCTCTCCTCTATTCAACAGCCTGTATAGACTCAAAATTGTAAAGGTATTTAGATTAATACCACTAACAATATAAAGTACCTAATCTGTATTTAAGTGATTGTCATCTGGTCTCTAGTCAACCTGTAACAATCCAAGGAACTTCTCATCCCTTCTCACACGTTTTTACCTTCAGTTTCTCCTATGATTAGCAAGAAGAAATCTTTTTAAATTCTCTCACCAGCTTGGGGTTCCTCGGCAGCCCGCAGCGTGCCGTCCCCCTCTGCCATGTCGGACGATTCCTGCGCGTTGGACGACCCCAGCTCTGTTGTGCCTGAAGATGAACCTTTGTTGAGCAATCCCAGTTCTCTCTCACGCTGTTGTTAATGTTTCACTTCACAACAGCAGTCCTTTGGCCGCCAACAAAATAGTTAAATTTTCATTTAGTTTTTGATCTGAAGTCATCTTCGCTCAGCTCCCAAATGTCATAGGGAATCTGCCTTTCTCGAACACAGACTCTGAGGCTGCATGGCAGCTTTCATGGATGTTCACGATCAATCACTTTGCACTGCAGCTA